GCTTAGAGGTTGGCTCACTTATTAGGGTTTGCACATATTCAGGTCGACATACCTCAATATGTGCATGCATGGCTCTAACGTCCTCAGTCAGAGGGAGCAGGTCCGGAGTGTTCCACTTGGCTTGCCGAGGGTCTGTAGGGCAGCAGAAGAAACACAGACGTCCCACCTCTTCTCAAAAAGCAGCCGGCTTGGTTGGAGGTTTTTAATAAATAGTTAATCAACACAATGCTCCATTTTTGAGTCACATTCAAGAATATCTGCTAACTTTCTGAGGCTATGGCCGAGTTTGAGGGCCAAGGATGGAGTCTTGTATTGATTTGTTTCCTTATCATATCCAGCCACAGACTTGACTGCATAAATCACATGGTTAAAGTTGGAAGGAATAAAGAAATCCTTCATTGTTTTCAGTTTCCCTGCCGTTTTTGCTTCGTTAATTAACCTACTTTAAACTTCTCCACAACAGTATCTCGGACCTGCCTGGTGTGTTCCTTTGTCTTCATGGTTCTCTCTTCGCTTTAAACAGAACCCTGAGACTATCAAAGAGCAGGTGCATTTATACGGAGACTTGTTTACACACAGGTGCATTCTATTTATCATCATCAGTCATTTAGGACAACATTGGATCATTCAAAGATCCTCACTGAACTTCTGGAGTGAGTTTGCTGCACTGAAAGTAAAGGGGCCGAATAATATTGCACGCCCCATTTTTCAGGTTTTTTTTTTAAGTTTAAATTATTCAATAAATTTCATTCCACTTCACGATTGTGTCCCACTTGTTGTTGATTCATGACAAAAAATTAAAATTTTATATCTTTATGTTTGAAGACTGAAATGTGGCAAAATGTTGAAAGGTTCAAGGGGGCCGAATACTTTCGCAAGGCACTGTAAATGCACACAGACATACAATCCTCTCACACTGCTTACATAACAGTAAGGATGTGTGTTGTCGGGATCTCAGGGACGCTGCGGTGTGGGACCGACTCATTATCACCCACAATCCTTAGCGTTCTCTGTGCAGACCACAGACAGCATGTGAGTAATGGCCTTGCTCACTGTGCAGCGCTCAACATGCATCAGCTAATTACTGAAAGCACTAGCTTAGAGAATATTGGTTAGTGTTTTATTTGGGTCAGAGGAGCAGTTGCATCCACTAAGTAACATTAGATTTATTTCCTTATTTTGAAGAATAGGCAGTAAGCAATTCATCAAACCATATTTCAATTGATATCTGTTTCATACAGTACACAACCTTCAATTTATTGTTTTATTACTATTATTTATTATAAAAAGTGAGCTCATGAATTATGTAGTTTCTTCCCTGCAAAGCAGCTTCACTGTTGGAGCTGATGCTGCAGATGTACCCTGTTCACAGTTCTTATTCCACACACAATGAACTATAATGCCTTCAATACATAATTGGACAACAACTTATAGATGTAATTTTATATTTTTCCTCCAAACGTTTGTTCTAATTACACAACATTGCTTTCATTCCAAGGAGAATGATGGGCAAAACTATAAACCTTAATCTGGATTATCCCAGTTAATTTGTTCAAACATATTGTTGCATTTGTTCAATATGCTTACTACGCAAAAATAAGGCCATGTGAAAGCGTATCAACACTGGTCAACCCAACAAGTACTGAACCTACATCGGACTAGAATTGTACTAGTACCGGACTTAAAGTGATAGTCTGGAGTTTGTCAGAAAAAAGAAAGAGGTACATGATTTGAAAAAAAAAAAAAAACACCCAAGCTCCCTCCCCCTTCCTTTCTGATTTGGTCGTGAAACCACGCCTTCTTTTCCATGCACGCGCCAGAGGAGAGATTATTAATTTTAATATTTGAATATTTAATCATAATTTGTTTTACAGCTCCTCACAGCAGCAGTAGAACGCTCCATTGATTTGAATGTAATTTCAGAACGTTCTACAGATCATTATTTCTTGATAACGGACCTCTCAAAACAATAATGACGGCTGCCCTTTGGCAACGCACTTTGTGCTTGTAATTTCAGGTGTGTAAAATACTAAGATTACTCTGGACAGTACGTTCTTTCAGCGTCTGTCACTTTATTATTATTATTTCTGTGAGAGAAGCTATCGAAGCTAGCCACGCTCAATAACACAAATATTAATCAATCAACACATTCAAATGTTAATCGGAGAATACATTATATATATACATTCTTAACACACGTGCACGGAGGTTTTCAGAATTATCTGTTAACAATTTCATGACAAAAATACTGTTAATGTGACCAAAAACGTGATAAACCCCGAAGTAACCATTAACATTAGTAGAACATTTTAGGACACACTTGTTCACTTTTCATGTAGTTCCAGAGAGTTCTGGTTAGTTAGATGTTACCCTTCTAGCCACGTCACGGGGACACCTTTAGGAACTAACTATTTTATATACAGTGCCTTGCGAAAGTATTCGGCCCCCTTGAACCTTTCAACATTTTGCCGCATTTCAGGCTTCAAACATAAAGATATAAAATTTTTATTTTTTGTCATGAATCAACAACAAGTGGGACACAATCGTGAAGTGGAACGAAATTTATTGGATAATTTAAACTTTTTTAACAAATAAAAAACTGAAAAGTGGGGCGTGCAATATTATTCGGCCCCTTTACTTTCAGTGCAGAAAACTCAGTCCAGAAGTTCAGTGAGGATCTTTGAATGATCCAATGTTGTCCTAAATGACTGATGATGATAAATAGAATGCACCTGTGTGTAATCAAGTCTCCGTATAAATGCACCTGCTCTTGATCAGGGTTCTGTTTAAAGCGCAGAGAGAACCATGAAGACAAAGGAACACACCAGGCAGGTCCGAGATACTATTGTGGAGAAGTTTAAAGCTGGATTTGGATACAAAAAGATTTCCCAAGCTTTAAACATCTCAAGGAGCACTGTGCAAGCATCCATCCATCCATCCATTTTCCATCCTTTAATCCATTTCTGGGTCAGGGGGGTGGCAGTCAGAGATGCCACCCAACTCTCATAGCACCAGCCCCTCACTGACCCTCTGCAGGTGGTGAGTCCACAGGAGGACGGCTGCTCTCTGAGTGTGAGCATAGCCTTGATCTTTCAGTTGGGGCTTTTGGGCAAAGTGGGGTTAAGTGTCTTGCCCAAGGACACAACGACAGCAGTCATCAGTGGGAGTCAATGGAGAAGGTGCAGAGGTGGGAATTGAACCCACGACCTTCTGGCCTTAAGGCCAATGCTCTACCAACTGAGCTACTGTCACCCCACTGTGCAAGCAATTATATTGAAATGGAAGGAGTATCAGACCACTGCAAATCTACCAAGACCCGGCCGTCCCTCCAAACTTTCATCTCAAACAAGGAGAAGACTGATCAGAGATGCAGTCAAGAGGCCCACGATCACTCTGGATGAACTGCAGATAACTACAGCTGAGGTGGGAGAGTCTGTCCATAGGACAACAATTAGTCGTGCACTGCACAAATCTGGCCTTTATGGAAGAGTGGCAAGAAGAAAGCCATTTCTCAAAGATATCCATAAAAAGTCTTGTTTAAAGTTTGCCACAAGCCACCTGGGAGACACACCAAACATGTGGAAGAAGGTGCTCTGGTCAGATGAAACCAAAATCGAACTTTTTGGCCACAATGCAAAACGATATGTTTGGCATAAAAGCAACACAGCTCATCACCCTGAACACACCATCCCTACTGTCAAACATGGTGGTGGCAGCATCATGCTTTGGGCCTGCTTTTCTTCAGCAGGGACAGGGAAGATGGCTAAAATTGATGGGAAGAGGGATGGAGCCAAATACAGGACCATTCTGGAAGAAAACCTGTTGGAGTCTGCAAAAGACCTGAGACTGGGACGGAGATTTATCTTCCAACAGGACAATGATCCAAAACATAAAGCCAAATCTACAATGGAATGGTTCACAAATAGACGTATCCAGGTGTTAGAATGGCCAAGTCAAAGTCCAGACCTGAATCCAATCGAGAATCTGTGGAAAGAGCTGAAGACTGCTGTTCACAAATGCTCTCCATCCAACCTCACTGAGCTCGAGCTGTTTTGCAAGGAAGAATGGGCAAGAAGTCCAGTCTCTCGATGTGCAAAACTGATCATACCCCAAGCGACTTGCAGCTGGAATTGCAGCAAAATGAGGAGCTACAAAGTATTAGCGCAAGGGGGCCGAATAATATTGCACGCCCCACTTTTCAGGTTTTTTTTTGTTAAAAAAGTTTAAATTATCCAATAAATTTTGTTCCACTTCACGATTATGTCCCACTTGTTGTTGATTCTTGACAAAAACATTTTTTATTTATATCTTTATGTTTGAAGCCTGAAATGTGGCGAAATGTTGAAAGGTTAAAGGGGGGAATACTTTCGCAAGGCACTGTATATCATTTAAAAAAGATAATACAGGGAATACATAATCTATATATATTTAATATATGAATTCTATACGAGCACGAGTGCGATGATTGACAGCCCTTGCCATTACTTGATTGGTTAAAGTGGACGGCATCGTGGATTATGAGCTATAGCTAAGAGAAGGGAAGGCGGTGTTTACCCGTAATATTATAACTCATAAAATAAGTCATTTTATATAAACATTTAAGGCCAGGTGGTCAATTTAATACAATTCTTAAAATGTGTAATTCATTTAGAGAATCAGACTATCACTTTAAGGCATGACCAAGCTCGAAATAAAGATTCTTGAATTTTAAAAAAATGGGATCAATGCAGAATAAAGCAACAACTAAACATTTGTTTCATATTTAGAGAATATTTATTTTCCCCCTTGGATGAAAATTCATGCATGCACTAAGCTGACTTGCTACAGCTCCAATGATTTAACACATAAACACATATTGCAAACAATATACTTGATTGTGTCCAAACAGTGCATAATTTCTGGGGCTAACACATCATGTATCATGGTCTGCCAGTAGCAGTGCTGGCCACTGTGTAGTATTGTTGTGTTTCTGGTCTAAAGCAGCCTTGGACTCTCCTCCAATGAAAAGTTTGTTTACAGTTTGGTGTCCTTGTCCCCATCCTCTCTGGGCCCCCCTCTCCACTCATCCTCATTCCCCTCTGGTCCCCCCTTTCTCCTCCTCAGACCTGCACCTGGCAGCAGAGCTGGGTAAAACTCTTCTGGAACGCAACAAGGAGCTGGAGGACTCTCTGCAGCAAATGTACGGCAACAACGAGGAGCAAGTGCAAGAGATCGAGGTACACAAGCACACACAAGATTTATTTATTTACATAAGACTTTATTTATTTTATTTTTGTTACAATATCTGTGCCATAATCGAGTCAACGATTAGGATGAAAAGTTAAATACTGGAAGTAGCACTGAACTATCAATACATACAAAAATCCATACATCCCGCTGTATGTGAATTGACCAACCACCTGACTTGTATGTAATCACAGTAAATATGTAGTTGTAAGGATCTGACTGCTGGCTCTCACTCTCCAGGGGTCATGAATGCCAGCCTATTTCAGAACAGGTACTCCCACAGTGCCAGCCATTTCTGATGATTTTTACTGATTTTTCAAGACCCACAGAATATTGTGTACTATGACTATCTGAAATCCAGATTCTAAAAGAATGGACTGTCTACTTTCCTCAGCAAAAAGAATTTTGTTTATAGCTTTTTTCGTTCCCCTGTAATCCTCCGTTGAGTAGAGGGAAGTTTTACTGAAATCACCAGAAATCACCAGAAAGTTGAGAAAAAAGAGGCACAACATGTGCACCTACATGTTTTCAAACCATTCAGAGAGAAATGCTGCCACCTGCTGGCTCGATAAAATATGGTCTCAAGTCATCCCCATACATATTAGATACAATAGACATCTGGGAACGTGAAAATAGCAAAAAAGACATTCGATGTATTAATGCGTCAATGGCACACGACGTTACTATTTGCTTTGACGTATTTGTGCGTCAATGGGACACAATGAGTTAACTGGGTGGATTTCCTTGATACGTGGTCTTGTATGGAGACCCACCCAATTATAGACCCGCTCGTAAAAGAGATGATTAATCTCAAGGGGAAATCCTCAATAAATGTATTAGGGCTGTCAAAATTATTGCTTTAACCCACGTTAATAAAGAATTTCATTAACGCGTACAAAAAAATATTGCATGTCCAAATGACCCGCCCATTTATCCATAATATCACTCAGAGCCGCGGACACATGCGTGTGTGAGATGACAACAGAGCAGGTAGGCCCTCGGGGAATCCAAGTTTTAAAAGAATACGCGCGATACCGCAGGGCTGTTGTTTGCTTAGAACTGAAGTCTGCCTCCCGTCTTAATGTTGTCATATAAGACCATACACACAACGGACTATTCACTGTGTGCGTGTCTATGCAACCTGTGCACGCAAATACACCACGGAAGTATTAAATTTGTCACATGCTTATTGAGTACTCTCTGCGTTCACCTCATCCGCAGTACTTGTCGAAGCAGCTGGAGATGTTGCGCGACATGAACGAGCAGCATGCCAAAGTGTACGAGCAGCTGGACGTGACCGCGCGAGAGCTGGAGATCACCAACGAGAAACTGGTGCTGGAGAGCAAGGCCTCGCAGCAGAAGATCGACAGGTGAATCTCTGGTACACTCATTCATCATCCAATCTTGCTCAAAAGGCTTCATAAAGAGGACATGATGATCTTTCCAAATGTGGGGCTCAAAATGACATGAGACATATTGTTCTGTGATATTGTTTCTTTCTTGACTTTGTTCCTCATCAAAAATAGATTTGAAGTTGTTTTTCTTTTGTGTTCTCATCTGTCTAAAAGCTCCTGTCCCAGTCCTGTAAGAGTTTGATCTCATTATGCTACTACAACACCACGTTCAGAACTGTCCCTACGTGGGATTCATCAATTCATTCTTTAGCCGCTGAATGGTTCGCAGCCATTCTCTTAGGTTGATGAATGCCATCTCCTTGTAAGTAGAGCGCGTGTGACAGGTGAGTCCATAGACCATAGACTGGAGAGACCAGTACGGACCCGAGGAGAGACCAGCGAGGACCCGAGGAGAGTCCATAGACTGGAGAGACCAGCGAGGACCAGAGGAGGGACCATAGACAGGAGAGATCAGGGAGGAGAGACCATCGCAGACCAGAGGAGGGACCATAGACTGGAGAGACCAGCGTGGACCCAAGGAGGGACCATAGACAGGAGAGATCAGGGCGGAGAGACCAGCGCGGACCCGAGGAGAGACCAGCACGAACCCCGCAACCTCCTGCAGCAGCAATTTATATGCCATTGTTTTGTGGCACGTGTATAGAGAAATGCACCTTATAATTAGGGTGAGGTCACTAATTGACGGCATGATTTCCAAATTTTTCAGAAAGGGTTGGCACATTAAAATAGAATTAAAAAACAGGCTAAATTACCACAAATAATGAAATGAGTAAATACATACATCAATACGATGGACAAATCACTGTAATTTTGTATTTCATTGAACTTAACAAAAGAAAACACCAGCATGCCGGTACTAAAATGTGCTAAAGAGTGCTCCTGAGTATTCGTAGGATTTGTTCTTACCTAGGAGAAATACTGGATAAGCGAAAAATTCATGAATGCCACCATCTTCGTAAAATCTTTGTAAGAATAAATTTGTTCTGAAGAACAGCTCGTGAAGGAGAGGCCCATTGTCTCAAAGTTGACCTGAAGTAGCCTGGTCGTACCACACCATAGTACAAATTACATTTCGTACTAAGGTCTGGAGGTGCTCCATTGAGCTCTGTTTACAGGTGGGAGGGGTTAACGTTGAAACGATTGGATCTGAGTTTACCGTGACGTATGTATAGCGCCCGAGTGAGTTGTTAGCATTTAGCATTTAGCCTAGCCTCTCCTTTGCTGCTAACGGAGCCTGTGGGGAGTAGCGCCACAATTTTTTCTAGCGATTCCATTTGCTAAACATTCCTATTGCTCCGGCTTCAATTTCTTGATAGAACCAGACTGGATTACTTTACCATTGCATTTTTCGCCATTGCCAAACTACGACCTTCCCGTTTGACGCAAACTATTGACGTCAACCACAACTAACTACAACACCTGCCTCCCACGCTCGCTGAATGGTCGTTCAAAATTCAAGTGATTGTAATCGCCAAGCCAGGGACCAGACCCAGACGTTACATGCAGTGAAATGATGATTGAGCGGAGTGTACGGATGGCTAAGGCCAGGCTTGACATGAAGCACAGACGCGTGTTTACTGTCTATGGACTCTCCGAGTCCAGCGTCAATCACCTCTTGGAGGCGGGCTTTTGATGTCACGAATTGGTTCACATCATAATTTAAAATGGCTTGTTTTGTGCCTCTCGAGAATGAAAGATAAAGATTGCTCGAATAAATGAAAAAACTACTCTGGGCATGTGTATGAAGGCCAAATAGCACTGTAATCATGTTTAAACCAGAGAAAAGTAAAAAAGCGTATAATGGTCAGCGTCAAGCAGAAAGGTAAGTGCAATTCTTTTTACTTTCATGTACAGTATTTCATAAAACCAAAATTGTTTTTATCATTTGAGATATTTACACAAAGATATTATAAGAGAGGACAACAGCCCTAATCACATAATAACAAGTCCTGCATTTCCTCATGCACAGCGGAGAGTCTGCTCTCTCCGCTGTGCACACAAACATCTGATATAGACAGGGTTTATTAGTTTATTAGTCTTGCAATTACGGTAATCATTTGAACTGTTTTCTGTGGAACAGTGCAGAGACACCCATGTTTCTGGCAAGATCATTTATATTGTGAGAGAAAAATAAAATGCTAAAACATGCAGTCATAATATAAACAACAACAAAAATGCCTGCTTGAAAAAGAGAACTATGCAGACACAAAACTTGTCATTAAACTCAACCTGGACTGAAGTAATATAGGTTGAAATAGATTATAGTAAAACCTCCAAAGTGAAAGCCCTACTGTACGTGTCATCAGTTGGGGCAGCACCACCCGTTGAGAACCCTATCCTTACATAACGTCAGCAAAGCCGTACTGACCAGAATCCATGCACTTTCAGATATAATCCTGCAAAGCTTATTTAGTCATATTAGTTGGTGAATGCTGCCCTTTGTTCAGCTTTATGTTGTAACAGTGCAGTGTTGGGCGATTGGGTTTGCGAGTCCGGAAAGAGTATAAATAATGATGTGTTGTAACCACGATATTTAAGATCACACATGGTGATTGAAGGTGACTGACATTGAGCCTCATTCATGAACCGTTCTTAAAAACAAATTTTTTTGTAAATCCTACTTACAAGGATTTCACGAAGATTGTGGCATTCATGAATTTTTCCCTTACCTAGGATTTCTCTGAGGTAAGAACAAATTCTACGAATACTCAGGAGCACTCTTAAGATAATTCAGTGCCAACATGTTGGCATGCTGGTGTTGTTTTCTTTTGTTAAGGTCAATAAAACACAACATTACAGTGATATGTCCGTCATATTGATGTATGTATTTATTCATTTCAATTTCTATGGTAATTTAGCCTATTTTTAAATTCTTTTTTAAATTAAATGTGCCAACGCTTTATGAAATACATTGGAAATCCTGCCGTCTATTAGTGACCCCATCCTATTTATAGGGTGCATTTCTCCCTCCACGGCCCACAAAACAATGGCATATACAGTGTCTTGCGAAAGTATTTGGCCCCCTTGAACCTTTCAACATTTCGCCATATTTCAGTCTTCAAACATAAAGATATAAAATTTTAATTTTTTGTCATGAATCAACAACAAGTGGGACACAATCGTGAAGTGGAACGAAATTTATTGGATAATTTAAACTTTTTTAACAAATCAAAAACTGAAAAGTGGGGCGTGCAATATTATTCGGCCCCTGTACTTTCAGTGCAGCAAACTCACTCCAGAAGTTCAGTGAGGATCTTTGAATGATCCAATGTTGTCCTAAATGACTGATGATGATAAATAGAATGCACCTGTGTGTGATCAAGTCTCCGTATAAATGCACCTGCTCTTTGATAGTCTCAGGGTTCTGTTTAAAGCGCAGAGAGAACCATGAAGACAAAGGAACACACCAGGCAGGTCCGAGATACTGTTGTGGAGAAGTTTAAAGCCTGATTTGGATACAAAAAGATTTCCCAAGCGTTAAACATCTCAAGGAGCACTGTGCAAGCAGTTATATTGAAATGGAAGGAGTATCAGATCACTGCAAATCTGCCAAGACCCGGCCGTCCCTCCAAACTTTCATCTCAAACAAGAAGACTGATCAGAGATGCAGCCAAGAGGCCCATGATCACTCTGGATGAACTGCAGATAACTACAGCTGAGGTGGGGATGGTGTGTTCAGGGTGATGAGCTGTGTTGCTTTTACGCCAAACATATCGTTTTGCATTGTGGCCAAAAAGTTTGATTTTGGTTTCATCTGACCAGAGCACCTTCTTCCACATGTTTGGTGTGTCTCCCAGGTGGCTTGTGGCAAACTTTAAGAGACTTTTTATGGATATCTTTGAGAAATGGCCACTCTTCCATAAAGGCCAGATTTGTGCAGTGCACGACTGATTGTTGTCCTATGGACAGACTCTCCCACCTCAGCTGTAGTTATCTGCAGTTCATCCAGAGCGATCATGGGCCTCTTGGCTGCATCTCTGATCAGTCTTTTCCTTGTTTGAGATGAAAGTTTGGAGGGACGGCCGGGTCTTGGTAGATTTGCAGTGGTCTGATACTCCTTCCATTTCAATACTGTATACTGCTGCTGCAGGAGGTTGCGGGGTCTCTGCGCCGAGTCTCTGCGCTGGTCTCTGCCATGGATCTATACGGGTCCGCGCTGGTCTCTCCCATGGATCTATTATAGGTCCGCGCTGGTCTCTCCCATGGATCTACACGGGTCCGCGCTGGTCTCTCCAGTCTACGGTCTCTCCTCGTGTTTGCGCTGGTCTCTCCGGTCTATGGTCTCTCCTTTGGTCTGTATTGGTCTCAGCGCTGCTCCACGCTGGATCTCCTCCCAGGGTCCAAAATATTTTGAGATTAATCTCATAATATTTTGAGATTAATCTCATAATGTATTTAATCTCAAAATATTATGAGATTAATCTCATAATTTTTCTAGTTCGACTTTATTCTCATAATATTTTGACATTAGAGCTGCATTGCCTGACTTTATTTTTGTATTCATTACAAAAATTATTTCCATATCCATGCAGTGCATTGGGATATACGTCCTTTTGAAGAAATAGTGCCGATTTGTGCTGGCGTGTCATTTTATTTTAGATCGAGTTTTCGTGAAACAAGGAAGAGGATGTGTTTTGGGTCCAGATTGTGACCAATCTGGACCCAAGGTCTCTTGTTAGCACAGACAGCTGAGGTAAACAACCGGCGGAGGCTAACCTGAAGCTTCCCGTGTCTTTGTTACCGGTTACTGCTTACACAGCAAAACAGCCATCCAAAAGAAAGTCTCGTCCTCTCTGCGCTTGCCGGTTCTATCATTCTATGGTCACGCCATCCACGTTCATATGTGCGATCCATATTGTGAGACGTGAGCTCCGTATACATTTATAATATGAGCACAGGCTGAAGGGGAGGGGGGCAGTGGGGGGCGAAAGCTTCGTGGGTGCAGGGAGGGCGAGCAAAAAGAGCAGTCAAAGTCTCAAAGTCAGTTAGTGCAGCTTTAAAGTCAAAATTTTATTACTTTAATCTCAGTCTGGCAAAAGAAGAAAAAGGGTGACTCTTTGGCTCCGTCATAACTCTTTGCTTTAGGCACGTAGCTGGCCTGCAGTCCCTTTTATGGTCATTAATGGGTGGTTACCTATGCTAAGTACCTACGCTAATGACTGTTACGGCCGGCTCAGAGCCATAACAAATAGGGAGACGAAACGGGGGTAAAAAGTGCAAAAAGTATATTTAATAATAAAAAAAGACGAATATAACATTAACAAAAACAAGGTATGAGGTGTGAGCATGTAGTAATCAGTAGTGTGGTGCAGGTGTGTGTGGTGTGCAGTGGATGTGGTGCATAAAACAAAAGACAAACTCAAATGTGCACAAAAGGAACGGGCATGGTGGCTACAGGTAGAACCCACCAGGACAGGACCCAACCAAGAGAGCAAGACAGGAGAGAGTGAGCAGCTCTCAGCTCCCAGCTGAAAAGGTCCACTGATGAGGGGCGTGGCATGGTGCAGGTGTGTACCTGCACAGAGGAGGAGACTGCAGAGAAGGCAGGCGAACCCCAGACAGCTCCCTCTCCTGGACACTAAGGGCCTGGCCCGTAACATGACTCACCCGCGCGCTCAATTTACGAGGAATTGGCATTCATCAATCTAAGAGAACAGCTGCAAACAATTCAGCGGTTTACGAGCGTGTTAATGAATCCCACGTGGATTTATTCTATTTCTATTCTGAACACATGTAGGAAAAAGAGTGGTGCCCACTGCACACAGCAAGTGAGGGAAGGAAGTGTGGGGTCAGGGAGGGTTTTGTCTGAGTGAGTGTCTGTGTGTGTGAAGCGTCTGCTCCATCCAACCCTATTTATTTATCCTATTTATTGTGTTTTTGTCTTTTATACATTGTTTGTACAAAAAAAGTAAAATAAAAAGTGAAAAACCTCAGGGAGGACCCCATTGAGAAAGAAATCTGCTCCCACAGATGGACAAGGCCATAGATCCAGGTCTCTGGCTGTACAACCAGGACCGGGGCTGTATGGTACAGGACATGTATCAGACTATAGACCAGTTTTCACTAGTGCTTTGAAAACACACTCTTTGATTTACGCTTTCAATTATAGCATTCTAACAAGCTCTTAAATGGATATTTTCTCCTCTCTTCTTGTTGTACATTTGTGATGAATTGTATTTTGTCAGGCTGACATGCAACATGGAGACTCTGCAGGCCCAGGTGGAGAGTCTGAGTGCTCGGCTGGAGGAGTTACGTACGCTGGAGGAGCTGCGAGTGCACAGGGAGAAGAAGGAGCGACGCAAGACCCTCCACTCCTTCCCCTGCCTCAAAGAGCTCTGCACCGCGCCACGGTAACACCTCACCACTCTCAACCACACTCCTTTGCTTCCATTGCATGGTAGTCATTAGGGCTGGTTGATATGAACGGTATAAGCGGTATGCGATAAAAATTTGGCCAACGAAAGATTTTTGTAATACCAGGATATTGCGATAGGTCATTATGTCATCAAATTGAAACACGCTTAGCTGCTGGGACCGGCAACAACCACGAGGAGTGTCGCTGCTGGATTCGTCCCGGAAACCGAATTTGTCCAGAAGTTCAGTTTGCGCTTGTCAAAAAGTGTAAATAAACATGTAAACAGTTTGTGTTGTTATATACAGATTATATTATTGATTTGTGCTCGTATGTTTCAAGGTTTACTACAAGAAATGGTGGAAAAAAAGCTAAAAAAAATTAAATACTTTTAGTAGCCGCAAAGCTAGCGCCCAGATGCGCTCAAAGGCACACGGAAATGAGGCAAACACTGAGACAGTTTAATTCTTGTTTATATTCACTGTCCTTTACTTGTTTAACTAATAAATAAATGTGTTCTAGACTTGACTCTGTATGTATGAATTTACAATAACGGGATACATTATTGCAATTGTTTATTGCAACAATGGATGGTTTTATGGCGCCCTCTCTAGGTCACAAACTAAATGTCAAGGAAATGCTAAAAGTATCAAATAAATAACCATTATCCAGCTCTAAAATTGAAATTTTAAATAAGTAACAATCTTGACTATTTTATGCAAGAACCTGCTAGACCTATATTCAAATTCACACACCAAACTATACCGCAATATGTACCGTTTACTGTCTGTGTCCCAAATTATACCGCAATATGAATTTTAGGCCATATCGCCCACCCCTAGTAGTCATTGTGCTTGGACCAAATCAATTTATTTATATTATCACAATAGTCCTCATGGTTCCAAAAAATAAGATAAACTATGAAAACTATCCCTGTCCCCTGGCACTGCATCTACTGCACGACAATCTGCCTCCCAGGCCTTTTTATTTGTGTTGGTGCAACCTGCACTAAGGCTGCTAAATATGATTTCTTCCTCCTAGTGATATCCTGCTGTAGAACTTCCAGTTCTGGACTGCTAAAGTTTTTTTTTACTCATGCTTTAGGAATGTTGCCGTTTCCTCCGAGTGGCTTCTGCACACGGCCCTGCAGTCCCTTTTATGGGAATTAATAAGCAGATACCTGTGCTAATGACTCACCTGGCACGCACGTTCAGTTTACGTAGAGATGGCATTCATAAATCTAAGAACAGCTGCGAACAATTCAGCGGCGTAAGAACGCGTTGATGAATCCGACGTAGGCTCTTCTTAGAAATCTTCTTAAGAATGACTTAATAAGAAATTGAAGAAGATTCTTAGGAAGATATTGGTGAATGAGGCCCAATCTTACTAGCCCCTTCCTTCGACCCTCAAAACAACAGTTCATGGCCTGTCTTTAAATTTAAGAAATTGAATGGAATTAAAGATGAATACAGCTGACACAAAAGTAGTTACTATTGCCACATCAGAAGCCATGTCACAGTTCCAAAAAAGTAATTTTACTGGTGGCAACTGCAGAAAAAGTTTATTTCAGACAATTCCGGGGATTTAGTTTATGAACAAAATAGAATAGAATGTAAAGAGTCACTTCATTGTCTGTAATAAGGAATGATTTAGTAAATTTATTTTTTGATTGAAATATTTGATACAATCAACATGTGAAACACTTCAACATTTATAGCCAAGGCTAATTTGCAATGTCCTCATCATAATTTAACGACACAGACATATAACATATCAATGCATGATTATTAAATAGCAATTAATGGTATCGAAATGGGGATCAAAAAGATTACATTATTTTGGAACTTCATCTGAGAGAAAAATGACTTCACAACGAAATAATTTAATTGTCTTATAAGCTGTTAGTTGTGCCCACTGTTGATGCAGCTTGTGTCTGATCAGGTACGAGGACGGCTTCTTGCTGGCCAACCCCGGCAGTGTGGATCTGGCCGACAAGCGCCCTCTGGACGAGGAGAACGAGCGCCTCAGAGATGTGGTGGCGTCTCTGCGCACTGCCATGTCCACAGAGCGATGCAAACGTGAGAGCGCAGAGCGCGAGTGCACCAGTGTGCTGCAGGAGTACGAGCGTCTGGAACAGCGCCTCCTGGGGGCTGAGGGCTGTCATCTCCGTGTGCAAGAGCTGGAGGCAGAGCTGCAGGAGATGCAAGAACTCAGGAAGTCCCGCCCCTGTCTCCTCTCCGCAGAGGATGGCCTGGAGAGCCTTCTCAACAGCACCCCTGAGACTGACACCCCAGAGGGGAGCATGGGGCAAGAGGAGGGAGGCCAGGGCACGACTGGAGAGCAGGGCGTCCCAGTGCGGAAGAGCTGCAGTGACACAGCTCTGAACGCCATGTCAAGCCGTGACAACTCGGGCCGCAGGCAGGGCAGCTACGCCATGCATGCCAATGGGGTGCGCAAGCGTGGCATGTCCATCTTGCGCGAGGTGGACGAGCAATACCACGCACTGCTGGAGAAATACGAGGAGCTGCTTGGCAAGTGCCGGCGCCACGAGGAGAGCCTGTGCCACGCCGAAGTGCAGACATCCAGGCCCGTGTCTAGAGACCCCTCCATCAAAGACTACAGCCTGGTCAGCGCCCCGGGACCCTCCAGCAGAGACACCTACAGCTCAACCGCCCCAGGACCCTCTTCTTCGACCGAACCACAGACCCCCTCCACCCCTGAGGCGCTGGAGGGTATTAGCCGCCAGGTGGAGCAGGTGGACAAGCGCCTGAGCCAGAACACGCCGGAGTACAAGGCGCTCTTCAAAGAGATCTTCTCCCGCCTCCAAAAGACTAAGAGCAACATCAATGCCACCAAGGGCGAGCGGCGGGGCAAGAGGAAGGGACGCAAGTGATCTCCTTCAAACTGACCTCGAAGCAACTTGAACTTTACTTTAAAAACGCAGTATGAGTCATTCATTGAGGTTTGGAGATTAACTGAACGATAAACATGCTATTATTAACACCAAGCTACAATAGGCAATACACCATAAGTCTAGAATAACAGCTAATGTCAATACAAAATTATTTGACTGTAATTGTTGCGTGCAAAAAGGCATATTTTAATTGAAATTGCCTATTTAAAATGCCTTGTCTTTATTTCTTATCTCCTTGTTGAATAATGCCTTCACCGCGTTACACTTGTATTTGAATGGGCTTAATTGCAACCCCTGCAAAATCCCTCTCCTCAAATCTTTGGTTGTTACAATGTTTATGAAGCCTTTTTTGGAACAATCAACATATGGACACATACTACGGATGCAAACATGATTTATAAAGTTTTAATTTTATGGGCTAACACAATAACAATAGATAATATATTAGGGTAAGTACATAACTAAAGCCGCCTTTTGGAAAACGTTATAATGTGGTTTCCTTCTATGCCAAAGCCTATACGGTCGTGTTGTTTCTCCAGAGGACTTTTCAGAGAGTTGCCTTGTGTCCTGTTTACGCCATGACGTGAAAGAATCCTCACTGTGCTTCTGTAATGTTGTGTAGATTATTTAAATTGTAAATAAAAGGTCTTGCCAATAGTTTTGGTCTTTTTGGTGATTTACAATGTTTTCACACTGATGACTTGTGCCAAAGTGTCATGTAGCAACACACATGGGAAGCACAACTTTCCAGAGCATTTCTGTGTGATTGTGCACAATTTAAAATGTGTGAAATGACTTCTGGTTTAAAACTAAATTATAAAAGGACAGGGGCTCAGTTGGTACCCTACTCTGCCTGAAGCCCCCACTAAAATAAGGCCATGCTCTCAGAGCAGCCTTCCTCCTGTGTATATACTGTATATATTTTGTAATTAGTTTCTCTCAGATGCTTTGGTGCATTTCTCACATCATTCTTCACATTTATACAACAGTTTGTACTAATTGTTCTGAGAAATGCACTAACTGCACAACCTCGTGGATAACCTGCAAAAGTGCGTCACTTTCTCAAAATGAAAAGTGAATTCCTCAAAAGCAAGTCTTCATGTCAACTGTCTGTGTCTCAAAATAATAAGTCCTAACACCAGTGTTTATGAACAACACAGTCAAATGGTTTAGTCATGTTTTCAGTGTGACACTTTACTCTCTGATACTGCTTCACACACTCTTGGCATTCTCTTGATGAGCTTCAAGAGGACCTGAAATGGTCTTCAACAGTCTTGAAGGAGTTCCCAGAAGTGCTTGGCACTTGTTGGCCCTTCACTCTGTGGTCCAGCCCCAAAACCATCTGGATTGTGGAGGCCAGGTCATCTGGCAAAGCACCAATCACTCTCCTCTTTGGTCAAATAGCCCTTACACAGCCTGGGAGTGAATCTACAGTCAATAGTCATGAAAAACTCATTGAATGAGAAAGTTTGTCCAAACGTTTGGTGTGTGTGTATTTCACATATTTAGGGCATATGCTCTTTGCAATTCTACAGCATTGTGCAACAAAGTCGTGAAGTAGGTCTTATGGTGGGCTCGAACTCACAACCTTCGGGCCCTAATGCCATTGCTCTACCAACTGAGCATTGGAGCAAAAAGATAAAGACAATATGGCAAAATGATTCAAATACTGTAATTACAATGATATGGATTACAATATTACTGGGTTTGAATCCCGGTCGGAACAGGGCTTTTCTGAGTGGAGTTTGCATTGAATTTTTCAGGATAGGTCAAATGCAGAGGATTATCCTTTACTTAAATAAAAGAATAATTGGATGAAGACTGCATGTTGAGGTCTTTACTTTTGGAACAAAAAAAAGACTAACATGAATGAGTGAACAATGAGGATAAGACTGCAGGCCTGGTTCGAACACTTTATTATGAATACAGGAAATCAGTAAACTGCCGACAATACAATTAGCGAACCCAGCCCAAACACATCCGGCCAGAGCATGTGCGCTTGTTCACTTCTGGGACTCAACAACACCTTAAACCCAGCCTACAAATCTCAACAGCAGCGGAAGGCACAGTCAGTGTTGGTGATAATAAGAAATATTCGATTATGCATCAACTGTGACATGATTTCTGAACTCTGACCACGTGAATACATCTGTACAGCATTTTACATTGCTCCAAATTGTGTGAAAATGTGTTAAAAAGGCTCGGCTCTTACTGACTAGATTAGAAATTCCCTATATAAAAACAAGGCCACGCAGATGCTTTATCAAATACCCTGATCATGATCCCGGCGTTTGGAGGTAATGCGGTCCTGTTTTGACCCTCTTCCAGAGTGAGGCCAGTGTCTGAAACAATGATTGCCACAGACAGAATTACTGCTTCCTGTACAATACTTTTTGTATAAGGCAGAATCATGGTAACGATTTAAAAAAGAAGGGGGGAAAAAATGGTGGAAATAACAGTAGAAGCAGTTTGGGGAGGATAAGCGCTCTGGGGCAGGAGGTTTGTCATTACATTTTATTATTTCAAACAAACCAATAATTCTGGATCGAGTCATAATAGAATAATTAAATTAATAAAGATAATTACTAGGATCTGGAAAGGGGTGGTAAGCGCAATGCAAAAAAGTTGCAATGAGTAGAGGAGATTTTTTGTTCTAGCTAAATAACATTTTTAACCTTTTACCATTTTAATTATTTTAGTCTTTTAAAGAAAACTCCTTTGACTATGTTTATAATGTATCTTAAATTATTGGAAATCATATAATTTGAAAAATGGGAAAACATTTTAAACCTAGGTCAGCAAAACAAGATTTATAAAAAAGGATAACTGATTCCAAGTCATTCCAACGCCTTACAACTTCCACTGATTGCGCTGCAAAAATGTCATGTTGGATTGCCATTAACTTAATTTGAGTAGATTTAACAAGTAAAACAAGATTTATTTCGCAAATTGAGAAAAAGCTCACAATTCAAGTCGTTCTAAGTCACCTAGGTTTTGCAGCGTACAAATAGGGAAAGTAAAAAAATGATCCACAATCCAGAAATGGCTCGGTGGAGGAATGATGGAGTGACATGGGGGAAACACACAAAGACAGTAGAAACTGATCAATTTTCCCACTCCTTCTTGATGGACAGGCACCAATCCCAGGACAGGTGGTCATGATTGTCGTCGTCCGTGAACTTGGACTTGATGGTGTAGGTGCCCCGGGCTATCAGGCCTGTGGGGGCCTCCTCCAGCGGAGTGAGGAACTCGTACTCCTCTTTTGGTCGTGGCCCGTAGCTTCCCACCATGTAGTCCGACTTGTCCACTGCAGGAAACGAGGGAAACACACAACATTCTCAGAACAATCTAGACCACTGATCTATACATTCTAGATATGACATTTTGACAAAAAAATAATCATGCAAGAACAAAGAAATAGACCTAAAAAGAGATTTTTTTGTGTGAAATCTAAATGATTTCCGGCTTTTGTCAGGACTACAAGCTGTGCACACATAAAAAAGGACAACGTTTTGCCAATTCATCTTGACGAAACAACAGTTCTGTCTGATTAGATGCAACAGCAGTTTTACAGTCTTTCCACAACTATTCAAATTCAAAGTCCAGACCTAAATCTAACACATGAGCCGGGTTATAAAATTACGTTTTATTGCAGCATAGATTAAATTACTAGGAGGATATTTTCATGGCTTTCTTCTTGCCAGTCATCTATAAAGGCCAGCTTTAGATTTTGTTAGCTTGTTAGTTTAGGTAGACCGTCATGTCTTGGTAAATTTGCAGTGGTGCCATATTCTTTCAGTGATGGGAACAATGGATAAACGATGCTCAGAGATGTTCAAAGCTTGAGAAATCGTTGTAAAACTTAAAACTGCTTTAAAGACATTTAAAGCAGTTTTTTCCTGTTATTCACTCCTTACTTTTAAAAAGGAGCAATATGTAAAAATCTGGCCAAAAGTGGTACTGCAGTTACAGTCAATATTTTGTAGTCCTCTCCCACTCTCCCTGACTCAGGTTGCCAGATACTCCAAATACTACCAAATCCAGCAGCAAACACAGGGAATTATTTTATCAGTTGTTTGTCTGTCTCTCACATTGCCATGATAGCCGTGCTAATGTTGAATGAATGTTTTGATTAATGTTTTTTTAATTATTATTATTTGGACATATGAGATAAAAAAACAAAATAAAATCAATTTAATTATACATTGATTATGCCAAATAAATAAGCAATTAATGTCCAAAATAGGAGTGGGAAGAATGGATGTTGGGACATATTTCTTCAGCGTATCAACATCAAGGTTTCCCCCCAGAGGACATCACCCTTCAATTTCATTTATTCCCTATTTTTTTAGATATGTATATGTCCCACATCAAAAAGATGTGGGACATCGAAGGGCGACAGTAGCTCAGTTGGTAGAGCATTGGCCTTCAGGCCTGAAGGTCGTGGGTTCAATTCCCACCTCTACACCTTCTCCACCGACTCCCACTGATGACTGCTGTCGTTGTGTCCTTGGGCAAGACACTTAACCCCACTTTGCCCAAAGCCCCCACTGAAAGATCAAGGCTATGCTCACACTCAGAGAGCAGCCGTCCTCCTGTGGACTCACCACCTGCAGAGGGTCAGTGAGGGGCTGGTGCTATGAGTCAGAGATGCCACCCCCCTGACCCAGAAATTGATTAAAGGGTAGAAAATGGATGGATGGATGGATAATTGGGGTACATGTGGTCTCAAATTATTCTTTTTACAAAGAAGCTATAATCTGCAAAAAACATAGTTTTGCGGCCACAAGTTATTTAACCAGTGAGATTAGCCGCACGGAGTTCTGGCAACCTGATCACGGACTTCCACGGGACTTCCTGATTTGCGAGGGCAGGCCGCCAAAATGAAAACAATAACAACTTTTACGGGTCATAAAACAAATTTTGATATTCAAATATCTCGGCTGAACTACTGTTATCAGTTAAAGATGTATTCGAAAAGAGCATGATTTAATAATGCCTTTTGAAATATTGGGGCCATTTAATGATGACATGACATGCAAATATTACATACTGCTCCTTTAATACCAAATCTAAATACTTTCTAAAAATGGGTCAGTTACTTTTGCAGAAGACAAAAAAAATGAAAAGGATTTGTTGTATTCTGTTTGACAAACAAACAATTTAATATATTTACATAATATAGTGCATACAAAACTTGTACCATTTTTATTCCAGTAATAAGTCCCCAAAACCAGTACTTTAGCCACCCTGATAACAGAATGTTATCTGTGTGTGTGAAGTCAACTGTAAAATGTACATAAATATACAGTAGACATGTGTACATGTTGTGCTTTGCTCATGTACTGGGACAATGTTTGATTTGAGAACTACATTTGGAGACATTAGGTTAGTGCACCTACATGGCCATATTAAAAAAACAAAATACTATTTAAAAAAAATCACCTCTCATTCCTTTCCTGAACGTTTGTTGGTTGTACCGGAGTCCAGACACTATTTCTCTGTTCACCTTTAAGACACAGACAAGTCCATAATGTCACGTGTAAAAACCAGTAAAAGCCATGTTCATAGGTTCTCTGGCTAACCTTGAAGCTGATCTTGATCTTGTATTCCACACCTTCTTTCAAGACAATGGGATTCTTCTTAAAGTTTTCCAGATCTCCTACAATGACATATACACATATGTTCATGTTTACAACAGGCAGGCAGCAGTAACAGTGACATCCAACAGGGGGAGCCCCCATGCAAGGATCCTGTCAGCAGAAGGCGCTTCATTACACTGAGCAGACTGTTTCATATCAAGCAGGCTGCACAAAAGGAACGGTTCAAATCTAATGTACAACCTGAAAATCTAAATTATAGTTTGGAGACAGTTAATGTATATAAGAAGGACTATTTAACAGTTTCAAACCATTTAAATTGAAAATGAAAGGAAACATATCAGACTCAATATAATTTGAGAACCGTTTGGAAAAAGTTATATTTTGTAGTGCTTGCGGGATCACTTTTTGCATTTCATACTTGTTGATTTATTTCTAAACATTTGAAAATTTTCTTTTCATACAAAACATATCCAGCCCTTTCTAAATGTTCATAATCATAATAATAACACCATAATATACAGTAGATTATAATGAGGTTTGTGTCATTAATTGTATATATATTATTTTTTTGGTAATTAATATATACATGAGTTTCCAATGACTTAAAAGGAAAATACTCCTTTAAATACATTAATATTACCTAGTAGTTTTTCTCAATAACATGTGTAAAAATGTAGCACAAGACTTTAAGATATAGAAGATATATCTGGACAAGCCCAAATCATTCCAGAGGAAGGTTTCTTTACCTTGGAGGTCGAGAACCAGTGGTTTTGACGCAGAGGTACACACAAGGGTCATCTTTGTCACCTGGACATTTTTAACATTTGGATCTGAAGAAGACAAATCACAATCAATATACAACTAATTATCCATCCATCATACCATTTAGGACAGACCTCAGTTTCTCCTGAGGGCCACTTCAGAATATCCGCATGCCGTGGGGTACTGAAGATGTTTTATACTTTATTCTATACGTTACAAAAACTACTAAAGGATGTTGATGCTCAGTAAACACCTGTTAAAAGCTGACTGCTGAGAGGCAGAATTCTATCTATCGGCTTGCTGAACTACATTAGGGCTCCGATTGGCCCTATGTTTATTGCTCGGTCTCATGTGAGGGTTCCTCATATACAATACCGCTTCAAGTGAACAAAGCAGTAACGTCACCTTCTACGACCTCTGGATTGGAGCATCCTAGCAGGGCCTCCTTGTACTTGCGCAGGCTCTCGTCCTCCTTGTCTAGCTCTTGGATCTCCTTCAGGGTCTTCTGGGCCGGAGCCTTGTAGTTCAATGATTTTTCCTCTTCATTATCTTGAGCGATGGCCGCCAGCTGCTCGGGGGTGGGGTCCTGTTCTGCCATGGTGTGGGTCCTGCACTGAGCAGGGGACAGGGGAAGGTGTCATTTAGGCATTTCATGAAAAAAATACTTAATTTAAAAGCATGGGAACAATCTCTATTATGGCAAAGAAAATATGCAGACAATAAATATTGTGAGCCTCAAAATATATTGTTCTATTCATCATTTTTATTAAATTTAGTCCATAGCAATTGCTTTTAGCTCCAACAAGAAGATTCTTAATCTTTTGGCACATCAGCATCATATTATTATAAGTATTAGAAATGTTAAAAGAATATGCAAGAAAATGCAGAAAGATGAGAAATGAGAAAAGAACCAGATGACTTGGAGGACGTCGCTGCTTTTGTGGATTATGGCCATTGTCGCTCACACAGATGCCCTTCCCCTTCATGAAAACAGTCACAACCCATTTTTGTCAAAATCTTGTCATAAAAAGCCATGAATTTGTACAAAGCCTTGGGGCCAGCAGGAATGAGGAAGCAGTTTTTTTTCGGCCACATCAGCACAAAACCTACATATTTGAGAACATCGCCTCCTGGTCCAAAAGGTCACCAGGTGTTGATGCAAAACAACACAACTTTAACCACAGCATAAACACAGGCTGCTTCTCAAGCTAGATCTGGACCAGTTCAGTCTGACGTTTCAGTTAGTTCACCGTTCACAACAACAGTGAGACTAAGTGTGTTGGCATTTGTCATTAGCCTATCAGGATCCGAGCGCGGACTGAACAGGACGTATTTAATGTCAGCACACAATTCAGATAACATTGTGTAGCTTTCAAATGTACTTATTGAACAAAGACTCAATATAGTAATTATTGTGACAGGCATGTTAGCCTGACTCTCGCCAGACCCTTGTAGATTCTCACAAGGGTCTGGGTCTACTCCATAGCGGATACATTTCAGAAGGCGGGGCCTTGTTAAAAAGATCCTTGTATGTGATTGGATAAACCACTTGTCTGTTATCTTGAATGACGCGTTCCTTCAACCACTCACATTGAAGCACATGATTTAGCACACGACTCCCATGGGTTGCTAAGTGCTGGCAAGATTTTCCAGCCCAAAACCTGCGAGAATGCCCAAAACAAAAACACCCAGAGTGATTTTTTTTGTTAAAAACATCAACTTGGGCAATCATGATTCTGTTTGTCTGTTTGTTTATGACCTACAAATCTCTTGATAAAATAAGTAGGCGGGAAACCACCCAACCTGGCAACCCTGCTGCGTAGTGTTGTAAACAGGTACACTTTAACCAGTACTTAAACCAAACTTTACACAAACATTTGACTCTTAAAACACACATATAATATTATGGAACCAACAAGATTTCGCCTCATATTGCAATAAAAGTGACATCCGCGTCGTAACTCATTGACTGCCATTGACGTATGTATCTTCTGTCAAACTTCCCTCTCTTCGACCGGAGATTACAGGACAACAAAACTGGGCGATAAAACGATAACGATATATATCGCGATAGACATGTGTTCGATATCAATAGAGAATGGGGTCGATAGAATGTTCGATAGTTTAACTTAACTCCGTCAGGAAAAACAGGAAGAAAACACCGGAAGTAAAGCCGACTCATAAGCGCATGGCATTGTGGGGGATGTAGGCGGAGGCTTCTCGACCAATAACAGCCGAGCAGGAACCGCAAAACTTTGTGGGAAATGCAAAAACAACAACAACCGCAGCATGCGTGGCGTCCATGGATCTATAGCTCGTGTTTCAATGCCGTGTCAATGGTTATGCACGTACGTGCGCGGAATAACATGTGCGGCGGCAGAGGCAGTGGACAGACCCGATGTATTCGGCGAAAGCAAGAGATTAACTTTTTCCTCGGGAAGCATGTGCGGCACAGAGAGCCGCACGGAGCGGCCACGGGGACACAAGACTCTCAAACAGCTAAACCAGGAATAAAAAACCAGGATTAAACCAGGACTAACAACGAGGGACACAGTGTGAACATATTTCTCCAGCCTCATCGCCCCGTGACTGTAAACAAGGCTGCTAAGGTTGGTTAGCCCACACGACAAATATATTTATTTAGGTAAAAAAAAAAAACTCAATATATATCGTTATCGACCGATATGAATGACTTATATCGTGATATAGTTTTCAGCCATATCGCCCAGCCCTACTAGAAACCAAGTTTTTTTTGCTGATGAAAGTAGACAGATCAATCTTTCAGAATCTGGTTTCATATCTCACATAATCACTGCACACAATATTCTGTGGGTCTTGAAAATCAGTCAAAAACAGCTGGCAGTCACTGAGTTAATTTGTTCGTATTTATACTTTTTTTATTTTTATTCACAGACTTTATGTCCGCCATCTTTGATTTACTTTGCTGCCGCGTGAGACACGCGTGAGAAGGCGGTGCAAACCCGGCTATCCTCATTGGCCGATTATTTTTTGATCTGCTATATGTAAACTGATAAAATAAAAGTCAAAAAGGTTTTAAGAATAAATCTACTTGTAATATTGCTAAAGTCAAAGATAACAGAACTGGGAGAGAAAAGGCAACAAATGTTAACTATCGTATCATACTGAATTTCAATCAGCACTAAACGTCAAATAGTGACTCCATGGGCTTCCTCTTACAAGTATGCTTTTGCTATTAAGAAGACAGTATGTTGCGGTTGGATTTGTTCACAACATTTTACTTTTAGCAGAAGAAGTTGGGGAAAAGTCATTCAATAATTTAGGGGGATAAATAAGTTTTGTACCCCAGCTTTTAATCAATAACAAATTAAAAAACTTCTTTCAGACCTAGCTGGGTGCATCCTCTGGACATCACCTCCTTCCTGATGAATGTGAACACACATTCTTGATGGATGATGAGGCCAGAACAGGAGAATGCTGGGCCAAAACACTACTTTGTATCTGCAGCTGAAACCTCTCCACCGCTTTCACCTGCCGCAAGATAATCCCACTGTTTGACTGGGATAGGAGCCGCACTGCCACAACACCGCCACGGCTTAGCAGACGCTTGGCAAAATAAATGCCAAGATTAGAGAGAGAGTGGGATTAGGGAAGGCTAGGCATTGCAGAACATTAACAGAACATTGATTGAGCAGTTCTTTGGGGAATTAAAATAAAAGTAATGAAAATTATGATTGTAATTTTTACACCTTTTCTCCCACTGGGTTTTTGAGTCTCTCCCTGCCGATGCTGCTGCTGTTGTGAATTAAGGCTATAAAAAAAAAAAAAATTAATCTATTGAACTGTACTGTAGCGAAGAAAATATTTATGTATTTCCCATTTTGATATTTCTCTCTGTGTACAAACTATCAAATACAGTTGAAACAAGCTAATACATCAGAGCAAAACAATAGCGCTAACTAATTTTGTAATCAAGTAATCGTTTTTTGAACGATTGCTGAGGTTTTATGAATCCGAATTATATGACAATATAACAATATAATGACAATAAAAGTATTTCTATCATCTACTCTCTATGAAAATGTTCTCGAGTGACATTGCTTTAACTATGTATGTCAAATTCTTTTGAAAAAAAAGCCTATATTCGATGGATTTAAACTTAGACATTCTGTGCAAGCTACTGTGGCAACGCAATTTCCCTTGTGGATCAATAAAGTAAACAACTCTAAACAACTAAGATGGAATTGAAGAGCAGTATCGGCCAACTAATCAATCTAAATAATTGTTAAATACAGTGCTACTATCAAGTGCATCTGATAAAGCAACCATCTGATGCAAAAAAATTACAAAAGCATTAGAAGAATGCCAAAATCCAGAAATGAGAGGTCAGATATGCACTGCAGGGGAATTGATTAAAACAGTGAACATAGGAAGTTAAATATGTTGCCACAAACACTACAAAACACATGTACACTCCATTTCAGGGGAATGGGGAAGGAGCCTAATGCAATGAGTTATGTAACAAAAACTAGATTTATTTAGACAGTCAAACGCTAGGGTACAAAATATTTTCATAATAATTACATGTCACATGTCCTAACAAAAAGTCTTCTAAAAGTATTTGCTGTGTTCATTTTCTGACAAAACATATTACAATTTGCATGTTTGTAATCAAAGCATTGGCCTTTAAACCTGAAGGTCGTGGGTTCGAGCCCACCTCAAGACCTACTTCACGACTCCCACTGATTTTCATCAGTTAGATGGATATTACTATAGTTGTAATTGCATTGAAAGTTAGGTGCCCCAGTTTTAACTTCAAAAGCTCAATACAACCCAATTCAGAATTGTGATGCTAGTATTCAAATCCAGCGTTGCTAATAACAAAAACGTAAAATTTCCCTATCAATATGGGTGAGAAAAAAAATTCAGATACACACATTATACATGCCGCTCTTACACAGCCATAGTAGTAGTAGTAATAGTGCACAAAAGTAGTCTTTTGTCTTCTGCAAACTTCCTTTTTCGGCATCTGTGATTCACATCCTTTAGCTGCCAGTGCACAAACCACACGATCTGATGCGCAAGACTTTAGCGTTGTATCCTTCTCAGCGTAGCCAACCTAGTGTAGTTTATAGTGCATTTTTGGCATGCTGTTACAAAGAAGCAGTAGAAGTTTGGAATAGCTCGGAGCAAGACAGGACAGGTCCTGCGAGAGTGAGGAGTGACGTGCAAGGGGCAGAGAATAGGGGGAAGTTACAAAAACAATGAAGTGGACGAACAAAAAAAAAAAAGTGGAATGCAAATCTAGACTATGAGTACTTGGAGGATTATAAAGACACTACTTTTTTCAAGTTCTTTGAATCCTTTGGAAAACGTTCCCTCTAAGCTGCGTGCATGCGTAATCGCGCACTGCTCGCACATTCTCAGCGTACAAGAAAACCTATGCCGCGCATAAAACAAGATTCAACAAACGCCCTTGGCCAAAGCAGGACTCTCACATAAAATATACTACAAATCTCTTGAACAACAAGATTTGTCTTTTTCATTTTAAGTGGGCCAAATTACTTATCAAAAGTAAACCAATGCAAATTGCTGCTGTAATTTGATTCTTTTAAAGTGGTTCTCACCCCCGCTCCTCGGAGCTTACGTTACTCACATTTCCTGTTCAAATCTTCCTCTAAATGGGCGTAGCCTGGAGGACTGAAGGGGGCGTGAACAAGACTGGGCCGTTTACATTACTCTGGGCGGGGGGCTGCTGACGTCAGGTCTTGCTTCAGACGTCAGGTCTTGCTGCCGCGCCAGTGTTGGCACCAGATTCAAAATTCAAATGTAGTAATACAGGTCGCCAGCAGATGGCGCCTCACAGACGGTTTTAGGCAGAAAGTTTAACTTTCAACTAATTTGCACCAAAGTGACAAGATTATGACCAGGATATGTAGACAACACTATTGGACACTCATTTATACCGTTTATCAGCAAAAAAAAGTGGATTTGAGGGTGAGTTGTCCTTTAAAAAGCCATGTAACTTGCTATGATGCAAGGTTTAGAGCAGGTGTGATACTGGTGTTTGGCCACAGTGTGCACATCTGATGTTGCTCACAGTGGTCCTCAGTGTGCTCAGGGAGCTTGTGTGTATGCCCAGACACATGAAAAATTAGAGGGAACATTGCTTTTGGCCATTGTATGTATATTAAATCTTGGAAACCTATATTCAAGTGTGGGCTATATTTGGCCAAAAATATAATGGCCTTATATAGTTTCTATACAGATTAATACTCCAGAAAGTACTGTATCCTGAATGCCAGAGTTGTGTAATATTTTTTGAAAGTGGGATTTCTGTAGGGATAGTAAATCAATTAATCACTACTACAGTAATCAATTATTTCATTTGGTGTGAACTAATTTTGTAAAGGTTTTTTTTAACCTTTAACAGACTTATACATGATACGGTTTTTACTCTAAGGATTCTAGACTGTAAACTTGTTGAGCTTTCAGGAGCTAAACAATTCTCAAATATTTCTAAATATACATTAGTAGAATTCTGTTTTCTCAAGACAAATTTTGTAGGCTTACTCCACTTTATACTCGTGTTCATTTTTATTTAACATTATCCAAGTTTCATTAATGTCATCTGTGTATCTTCTTTGCCATGTGTACGGTAGTTTGAAATAGCTACTAGTAAGAAGTTTTGAGAAGGGGGGAGCGCTTGAACAATGCACTATAGACCAGGAAGAAGAGGAACAAATAGGAAGCTGTAAAAATAGTTGATGAGAAATCTGGGTTGATTGTTGCAGGAAGCCAGGAGTGAATGGGCTTGTGGAAGGGCCGTCTAAAAGGTTGAACATATTCTCACTCCGCGGGTCCTTTGAGAAGTGACTGAGGTAATGCCCAGATTGAGTCAGCCTCTCTGCACCATAGCAGTAATGCAGACTGTGCAGTGGCTTTATAGAGTAGAATAACAGGCATGTTCAGTTCATGTGACCATGATGAATTGTGGTTTTCCAAATTTCCTTTTACATTGGAAACAAGCATGTAACCTCACTTGGCTACAATACAAGTTAGTAAGGGCTGTCTATAGGCGACTTATCGGTCAATGGTGTCCAAGTCCACCAAAATTAATTTTACTTCACTATTTAGAAGTATCTATATGGAAAAACTGCAGATGAGCTGAGGATTTTGGCATCAACTTTGAATTGAGAAGTTTGAATGACTTAATGATCAATTAAGCCATTTGAACTTCTAAATTCAGTGAGTTAGGGTTAGTTATAATTAAACTTGATGGTTAATGTGGTAATCATTTTTATTTACTATCTATTTAAGGACAGTGATGATCCAGGACATTTTGTAAAATTAATGTACTTTGATCAGCCCGCTCCCTGGACCAATTGCCCCCGTGTGTTCATTATAATTGCATTTGCCGTTTGATTCTCAACAAAGTTGTCAATTCACCAACAAGCCCTCCAAGATGACTGCTGTTGTGATCTAGTCAATACAAAAACATAACTAAGTCTTATGAGGCCAGTTTAGGTCAAAATACATAAATGTTTTTGAAATATTTAGCTGTGGCCCCGTTTCAGTCCACAAATTACAGTTGTAACGACATGGTAAAGAAATTCTTGGATGACAACAGCTCTACAAGTTATATCTGTGGAGACCCAAGACATCTGACTGATAACCACTTTTTTAAAGCACTAAAATCATCCTTGATAATGAGGAATAAGGAGAGTACATGTTTTAAACCAAAGAAAGAACGTTTATCACAAGAACAAGATATCGGCCCGCTTGACAAAATTCGAGTCCCTTCAATTAAATTACTCAGATACACATTTCACTTCTGAATGAGAGTTGAAACATTTCATTGAAAACAACTTGATGACGATTTTTGAAACTTTTTTTTCCACCATAGAAGACTGTATAGAAGGCACAACTGAGAGAATACAGACTTAAAAAGACAAAAATGTGGAACGTTCCCCTGCAACGGTGAAATCACAAATGTGAACTGGCTCTTCATTCTTACTAAATGGAGGACTCGTTCTTGATATTCATACAGAATGTTCCAAAATCCTCTAAACTCATTAACTAATGCACTTGACACTGCTCAGTGATGATGTGAAGGGTCGCTACGTTCAACAAGTCAAAATGGAGGAACATTGAGGTGTGTGCAGTGAGGAGAATATGAAAAGTTGACATCCAGGAAGTACTGGAGAAAAGTGAACAAGAAAGTCGTATCAATGACAAACTGAGTTTATTGTATACAAACTTAATCGGGGACTGTAATCTTGTCTTGACCTGGATTGTGTAAATCGGTGAAATCAATTATGTCCTGCGGAATGGATTAGTTAATAACGGCGCGCAGCAGCAGATCACGCTCAACACCCGGAAATGAGTCGGTGGAGAGTTCTGTGAGAAAGCGATATACGAAAAAAATTAGCAAGAAATGGCCAGACATAAGGCGCATTTTTTAACGCTGGACACCGATCGGCCATGCCAAACACTAATTCATTTATGTTGTTTGTGAATAGACCTACATTCCCCACACACGTTTCCCGCTGGGTTACAAAGTTCAGAGCTAACGTGAAAGTTTCCAAACAATGATTGGTTCTGAATGAACATGATAAAACGGGTAAGATTAATGGGTAAGGGAGAGTTTCTAGTCGCTCTTACCGTAAAAGCAGAGAAAAGCAAGTCTCCTTTGAGCACGGAGTGAATGCTGCGTGAGACGGAGAACAGTGGTGTCTGCGCAAGGCTCCTGGGCAAGACCGGAAACTATCCCGGAAATACGTGCGGCTTTCACAAGAAAAGACTTAGGTTCCATGAACTATATGATCTCCATGATTACCCTAGCCGTGTCCTTATTTTAATGACGTGTCTTCCAAAACACACCATTTAATAGATATATTACTAGAAAAGTAATAGCTCTACAGTTAAATATATTGATCTACACAGGGGTCTCAATACCATCCATTGGGAAGCATTGCCTTAGTGTTACATGCAAGCGCAAACTCATTCAGTAATCCAAATTGACAGTCAAACCAGGCGATTTAAACAAATGTATTAATAGTCCAAGCTTGGTTAATATATCAGACTGCTTCAAAATCTTTGATGGAACTTTATCAGTAGGCCAAGGCTTAGTCACCTTGGTTAATATTAATATCAGTTGGCAAACATTGTAAAGACAAAAGATTTGGCAATTCAGCAGGTTTTTATTACAAGTCTTTCACTACAGGGTGAGGAGAATCAGCTTCAAATTTACCTACTGCCAAAACATGTGAGAAACAAAAATACTGGTAAAAAACACTTTGGAGCATTTAAAAGAAGAGGTCGGAACAATTGCAATCACACCAGACAACCATGTGTAAAATATTCTGCACATTTTATAAAGCCTCCCATCGTGCAGAGGGGACAACCACAGGAGAAGCACAGCTTAACTCGTTTCCATCTGCAAAAAACAAATAAGTTAGTCTCAGTTCTGCAGTGTAAATGCAATTTCCATTCCAACTCACTCTGGCATTGTAGGCATCTAACTGAGCGTCAAGTTCTTCTGCAGACAGCTGTTGTCGGTTAGGTCCACCACCACCGCGTCCACCCCTCCCACGTCCCCTAGGACCACTGGCCCCCCTGCCTCGGCCCCTTGGTCTGTTTTGCATTCCACCAAATCCACCACGACTTTTGTTCATCATGCCACCACCACCACCTCCACCTCCTCCTCCTCCTCCTCGACTGACCCTTCAAGGAAACAACAGTTTACTGCAAAGTCCATACATAATATGGAATTCTCAACAAGAACATGAACTTACCCCTGCATTGGCCGCCTCTGTGTGTCGATCTGTGACGTGACAAGCTGTATATTCATAGGCCGGCCTGTCATGAAACCATGCAATAAGCAAACAAGAAAAAAGGACAAGGAAAAGATCATTTCTGCCTTTCTTACCATCGAGTGGGATTCCATTGTACTGCTTCATTGCCTTTAAAGCATCTGCCCTTCTTTCAAAGTGAACATCTGCTGTTCCCAAGCTTCTTCCGGAACGGTCGTAATGGACTGCAGCCTTTTTTAATGTACCAAATTCTGCAAAAAGTTCCTTTGGATGAAAAAGAAAAAAGGACATTGGAACACACACACAGGTCAAAGTCCCCTCCTCTACCGTACAAAACATACCTGAATGTCTGCGTCTGACACACCGAAGTCGAGATTGGAGACCAGAAGTTTTCCACCAGTTTCAACACCAGCTCCGCCACCCCCAGCTGCTCCGTTGAATCCACCAAAGCTGTTGTCATACATGTCGTGCTGCCATTTGTCTGGAAGCTGTTTAGGCTGCAACAGATGAAAGAACGCACCTGCTGACTTCAGGATCCCCTTGTGCCTGTCATTCACAGAGTCCACACGGCTGGGTGTTTGGGCAAGCAGGGGCTCCACATCCAACAGGACTAGGGTGCTCACTCAGATCCCAAAGACACGACCCCAATATTCCCACTGCCCACCCCCCCCACAAGTGACAAGACAGAAGGAACACATACAAAATGACAAAGGCGAATGTCGTACATAGGTATCAGGATAATTATTACTATTACATAAATGCTTGGCAATGGCCCGTACTTAATCAAAACCCAAATGCCCACCCACTGTACTCTTGCCATTTGCACCTCCAACAAAGACCCTCCAGAACTGATCTCCAGGTACAGGGCGTCCCGTCTGATCAGCGTCGGCTCCAGCGGTGCACCGGCCCTTTTCCAGATCACAGTCCATTCCAAAGCCACACAAGGGCCATGATGGAGAAATGTCCAAAACTGACGACGGGAGACCAGTAACACGGCCAGCTATCCTTATACGAAGATTATCTCAGCGTCCATTTTGAGCAAACGCCATTTTGCCTTTGTTACTTAGCAGAAGCACTCAGCTGAATTTCATTTGGGAAATTGCCTTATTTGAATGCTATGAAGGAGTTGGAGTCCACTCGTACATCCTCCCGTAAGACTGTAGTTGAAAAGCCAAAGTGTAGGGAAACATGCCCGCCACTCCCGAACAAAAGGGCGCTTGGTCGCACACCGAGAAAAGGACTAACGACTGTCCAAACGCAGAGCCAAAAAGCCTGTGGTTGTTGAAGTGGTCTGGATACCAAACAGACACTTGTGTAAAATCAAAAACACCACTAGTGCTTGGCTCTTTTATTCAAGGGTTGGTTTCAAAATGGCGCTGTGAAGGCCTCCCTCCGCGTTCCACCTTTAGCTACCGTGGTTAGCCGCTAGCGCATTAGCACTCTTCAAAGGCCCCTCTCAAAAGGATGTTGCTCGGTTGTTGTAGAAGGCAGATTACTCGAACCATTTGTTATTGCACAATTAAACCCTCAGTGGCGAGGGTTTGGGCAGTTAGTGACATATTGGCATAACCAGCACGCTGGCTACAGGTTAGCTAGCAAGCCTATTAGAGAACAGAAGGCATTGAGGTCTGCCTTTGCTTCTCCATACTCTGCCCATTCCTTTATTTTTCCATACCCTGCTATAAGGTGTCGGTCTGCCCCGGGCTCGGCTCAGGTTCTGTCGGCTCCTCATGGGGCCCGATCCGCCGCCTCGTCCTCCAAATCCTCCTCCACCGCCAGGACGCCCAGCACCGCGGCCTCCTACAGAGCCTCCGCGGCCCCTGCCTCTGCCACCACGGCCTCCTCCTCCGCGCCTGTTCTGCTTGATAATGTCGTCTAAAGACATATCCATCTTATCAACCATTATTGCCGCTGAACAAGGTTAAACTTCAAAACAAGCTATATCTCGCTGGTCCCTTTCTCGACTTCGGCGCCTGACGCTGATCACACTGCAATATGACGACGACACAAACAACAGGGCGCAAGCCTTTATAAAGACAAGATCACGTAAGAAACTACGTCACCACGTACTGCGGTGGGCAATTGTTTGTCAGCCCACCATACATAACGTATGGGCCAAAATTGTACAAGGCCATGCAAAGAAGTCATCTCCATATCCTTTTAATTTGTTTTTTGTATTTAATTATTCATCTTAAATTAATTTTTTTGTTTCTTGTCTTAGCAATGTTTGACTCTCATGTTATATTATACAATATGATAGTGATATTTGCTGCCAGTAATGAGTCCAGAACAGTATTATAAATCTACTATACACTCATATCAAAGGTCATGGGTTCAAACCCACCACAGGGCCTACTCCAACTGCTGTTGTGTCCTTGGGCAAGACACTTAACCCCACATTGTCTGAAGCTACCACTGGAACACCAAGGCTGTGGCACCACTGATGTAGCAGCCATCTTCCTGTGGACTCACCACCTGCAGAGGATCAGCGAGGGACTGGTGCTATGAGCACTGGGTGGTAGCTCTCATTGCCACCGCCACCCCCCCCCCCGACTCAGAAATGGACTAATAAAAAGGACAGAAAATAAATATACTCGTATGTAAAAGAACATAAACATGATAGTGTAAAAATGTTTATTCAATTCTGTTCCAAGAATCAGGGTCATTAATCAAATACTCATTAAATTCTTGAAAATAAAATAATTTTTTTAGCAGGAAAAAAATGCTTATAATAATAAAAACAATGGCATTTTATAGGGTGCATTTGGCTTCAAAATTTTCTTATATCCAAAGTGGCCTTTAAAATATCCACCATGGCCTTATGAAATATGAAACAAACTAATGTTCAAATAAACAAAAAGTCAGCCCTTTGTATTTCTTCCAAGGTCATGCAAGTAGCAAAAGGAAATGTTTAAAGTGAAGTCTTGTCCCATTGCAATGTGAGATTGTTGTTCAACATTCGATAGTCCATCTTAAAAATGTTTTAAAAATAAAACAAAAATGGAATCCATAAAATCCATGTTTTTTCAGACAGGGCAGCTGTGGTCCAAAGATAAAATACTGACTGCATGACCGTGAGGGCTTACTTTTGGGATGACAAAGACCGATCAAATTCAAGAAAAATAGTTGGGGAAAACATCTCAAATGTCATGGGATTAGGATTTCTTGGAGTCTTGTGTATTGCGTTTCTTGAGATCACTTAGGTCCACTGGCGTAAAAGCTAAGGAGTGAAAATAAAGAACATTGACCATAAGCCACTTAAAGACCTTATGCCGGGTTTAAAAAAAAAAAAAATTGTGGATATCAGAATTGCATGACAATGTCAATCTGAAAGAGATTCCGGCAAAAAAAATCCTATATTTTATAAAAAGAACGTGTTTTTCATGAATTTAAGTTGTCTATGCTCTAACCTGTATGTAACGTCATAGCGGGTAACGCCCATGCATTGAAAACCATAGATCTATGCCACAGGACTGCCTTTTCTCTCTTCTCTCCACTGATGCCCAACACAATACTGCACTCTACAGGTGACAATTGCTCACTACACATAAATTGCCGTTTTGAGAGTGAAAATGTGTCTGAGCTGGGATTTGAACCCCAGTATCTAGCTTGGCAGTGCATCGACACAACCACTGGACTATCTCAGTGACAACAAAGTCTTACAATCTGGTATTTATGTCACACTCGCTGTACACGGCCTTGTCATCTTGAATATCCGCGAAAAAAGAACGAATACCAAATTGTAAACAACTTACAGCGTTGAAATGTACCCACTCTGACGTCACCAAGGGCTGTGAAGTTTTTTCGTTTCTAAGGGCGTTGCTATGGGGTTATTTCGATTTGGGGGGGATCAGACAAAAAAAACAACTGATTTTGAAACCTTTAGAAGTTCTCTTCTAATATAAAATGGTATTAAAACTGTATTTCTAAATAAATCAAACCCGGCATAAGGTCTTTAAATAAAAATCAGTACTTGACAACTTTTGCAGATAAATATGTATAAACTTACAATGCAGACTTGGATTTGGATTCTTTTCAACATATTCTTGCGGTCCACGGTCATTGCGTTCACTATTTTGTGTTGATCGAATATCTCTGAGCACACACTGCCAAGCTGTAAAAAAGAAAAGAAAACAGTTACAAGACCATTGTATGCAGTATGAGAGTGGCAATGCCTTTTATGTTACAGGAAAACCAAACTTCATATGAAGTAAGAACCTTTGTTGCACCTCAAACTGTAAGGAGAAAATTAAGTAACTTGAGTGCTTTTATTTTCTCCTTTTATTCTGCTATAATGTGCACCACGATGACATTGAAATTCCCCACTGTGGGACAAATAAAGGTCTATCTTATCTTTAAACACACTTCTAAAATGCAAGAACTTTGCCAATTCCAACCAATCACTTCCGGTGCAAGATTCAGAAAATTCTGATATATATATATATACACACACACACAAAGATGGTAATTCGAATTTGGTTGTTTATTTGAATTATATGTCCCATTCCTATACATTTTGAAAATAGCATGAAGCTATTAATGTATTACTTTTAAGTAACAATAAGTGTACAGTCTGACAGCCGAAAGAACAAAGGATCTCTCTCTTCTCTTTCGGCAGTACATTGATATAAGCCTGTTGCTACGAATACTGCTCTGAGCGGCCATAGTGTCATGCAAAGGGTGTCTGGAGTTGCCTCGGATTCCCTGCATTAGAGCCCTCATCCTTCATTCCAGCAGAGCTCCCACTGAGTCCACACTTCTATGAAGTATACCTTGGCCATATAGGATGTCAAAAGTACTAAAACTAGTATAAAAACTAGATACTAATTTGAAATCTTACTTTAAAAGATTGGCAAACAACTTAATAGTTGGGGTGCTTAAAATAAGATTGTGGGAATCACCAGACTACCTATTGATAAGAAACACTGTACTTTCAGCGATTACTTTTTAGTCGAATCTCTTTCCAGTACTACTCTAAATAGTCGACTTACTATCATGGATGAATCGCACATTTTCCTCATGTGCTGGAGTGAATAGTTCTCCGGTGTTGGTAGGAGATCGAGGGCTTGAGGTCCGCTTGTAACTGTTCACCATCCTGGGAGCAGATGAGCTTTCCAAGCATAAAACACACAGATCATTATTTTCCCTTATTACAAATAGAGCAACAAATATCTTTTAACCACAAACAAGATGAAGTGTTCTGTCCCACCTGGTCATTCTGTTTTCACTGTGTACTCACTCTTCGCTCCTTTATGGCGGATGGATGTGGTGAATAAGAAGTGAACAGTTGAAGTCTGCTCAAAGAGGAAAAAAAACGCATGGAAATACAAAATCATACTAAGTAAGTCAACTTTTCTTGTTTTAACAGAACAATATTAATAATGGTAAGACTGACGTCAGCAAAAAAATGTCCAGCAAAACGTTTTGGTTGACCGTGACACTAATGTTCACTTTGGATGGATCTATTCGAAGTAACAACTACCTGGATGCATTTGTTTACGTGTTATGCTAAAAAAGCTAACTAGCCTAAACAATGACAACAATACACGTAACCTAGCGTTAGATTGCAACAAAACAAACGACAAACCAAGCTCACGTTTTGACAGTGTAAATTTCAAGATTAGAGTACCATTAACTCTTATGCTCAAACGCTAACAATAGATTTGCTGACACAAACATTCAAGCCTGCTGTAGCTTCTGTGCTAATGCAGCTTCACATTGTTTAGCTTAGCATTACCCAGCTAATGTTTATCTGTCCCTATTCTCAGTGTATTGCTATTGAGTTTATGAATGTACACTTAGCATACTAAAGGACATCGGTGCTGGATAATCAAGCCTACCCTCGATCCGCAGGTTTTCTTGGTTTATTCAGAGGCTCAGCTCTAAAAGCCGTAAAACCTGGCTAAACGTTGCCAATGCCAACCAATCACTTCCGGTGCAAGACAATTATGATACAAAGCAATATATAATATTATATATAATGTGTATAAAAGGTGATTATTACTTAGTTGTTTATTTAAATGATATATCCCATTCCTATACATTTTGAAAATAGCGTGAAGCTATTCGTTTCAAGTAACATTAAGTCATATTCACTGCAGTGAAGGCTTTTCTCATCCTCCTACGCCCCCTCGCGCAAACTCTTGAATCCGTGTTTTATAAAAGTAAATAATATTGTATTTGAAGGTAATATTTTTTTGTCTGACATTGTGGTTGGTCATTTTGGGCTCTACCAGAATTAAAGATGGTGCTATTAAAACTTTACGCTGGTAGGGTTATGGATAAGTAGAGTTAATTTGCAAAGACAGATATATTTTTACGTAGTTCATTCCTCACTAAATCACAGCGCCAAATAACGGTTCCTTTCTTTACAGCTAGTGTATACTTGCGCGGCGCTGTTTACGTTAGCGGTTGCGGTGGACCTCCGCAAGCACAATTTAATTTATACTCCTTGTGGAGTTTTGAGGAGAATGTTGTAATCCCACAATCAACCACATGATGGCGATCTCACAGGAGTTGCTTGAGATACCAGAGCAGTCTCATTTACGCTGCTTCTTTCTCCTCTTCAGAACAAAAACATGAACAAACCGAGCTGTTTGAGATCATTACATGTAGTTCTACTGTAGGTTTATGTGATAGTTCTATGGACTAATTTTTCTTAATTCCTTTAACTGTGATGTTGTGAATAAAATACACAGTTCTTGTTGGAAACATAGTTATTATTAAATTGTATTCATCACAAACAGCAAACAAAAATATCTGAGGCAAACATGAACAATTTATAAGTGCAGGAGGAATGGAACAGACGCGATAAGCTACGAGTGCAGATTCAAACAAAGACAGGAACAGTGCAAAAGAAACGACTGCACAGTTTATAAGTTATATATAAGTTAGATATGCAACAGAACTCTAGTCCACAGTCTCCGCGTATATCAGGCTCTGCCATGAGCCCAAACTACTTTTCCTTTGGTTCCTTCGAAGCTTGAAGCAGTCTACTCCATAGTGTACAGGGGGGTGAATATTTCAAATGTAAACGTGGTCGATGTTGCGCTTTCGGATCATTTTTGTGTATTTTTTGACATGTGTTTCACTAACAAACCACCAGTGGACTCTGCAACTGTACGAAGAAGACACATAAATGAAAATACGGGTGAACTATTTATGGGAATGATAAACTTTGAGAATGCATCGTATTCTACTGTAGATGAACTGTTTAACTCTGTCACCTCTAGTGTTTTGAATGTTCTGGACACCATCGCTCCTGTGAAGGTTAAAACAGTGAAAAATAAGCAGAAGGCGCCGTGGGCTAAAGCAGACTCGGTCAGGGCACAAAAGAGAGAGTGCCGGAGGGCCGAGCGGAAGTGGCGCAAGTCCAACCTCCAGGTTGACTACGAGATCTTCAAAGATAAGTTGTGCGAGTTTAACCAGGTGCTACGTAGTACGAGAGAAAGGTATTTTTCTGAAATGATTGAAGGCTGCAGCAACAATCTGCGTGTTCTGTTTTCAACAGTTAATAGATTAACAAACCCCCCTGTTCAGATGCCATTAGAGCTAACTTCCAAACGTAAATGTAATGAGTTTGCACATTTTTTCAATGACAAGGTTCAAGGCATCAAAAACGCCATTGTCTCCAATCCACAGATAACCATCCAACAGCCTAAAAGGCTCTTTGAGCTAACTTACTTTGCACCTGTAAATGATCAAACTGTCCAAGAGATAATCTCCAGTCTGAGCGCCTCCACATGTAGCCTGGATGTACTACCCACTAGATTTCTAAAGTCTGTTTTGAGCAGTCTGTTACCTTCACTCACACAGATAGTAAACATGTCCCTTCATTCTGGAATATTCCCAAAGGCCCTGAAAACTGCAGTCATCAGGCCCCTGCTTAAAAAGAGCAGTCTAGATGCTACGGTACTTAACAACTACCGTCCCATCTCAAATCTGCCATTTATGGGGAAAGTCCTTGAAAAAGTTGTCTACCAACAGCTAAATAGATTTCTTATAATTAACAACTCATTTGATATGTTTCAGTCCGGCTTTAGACCCCACCACAGCACTGAGACTGCTCTCGTCAAGGTTACAAACGATATCCGGCTAAACACTGACGCAGGCAAAGTCTCAATCCTAATCCTGTTAGATCTGAGTGCTGCCTTTGACACTGTCGACCATGAGATCCTCTTACAGAGACTAGAGAACTGGGTTGGCGTCGCTGGCACCGCCCTAAGTTGGTTTAGGTCTTACCTTGAAGACAGGAAGTACTTTGTGGAGATTGGAAACTGTGTCTCAGATCATATGGCCCTGACCTGTGGAGTACCACAGGGGTCGATCCTGGGACCTCTTCTTTTCAATCTCTACATGCTGCCGTTAGGTCAGTTAATACGCAGAAACAAAGTTTCCTATCATAACTATGCAGACGACACTCAGATCTATGTCTCACTGACTGCAGGAGAACATGGACCAGTGGACTCACTCCTTCACTGTATCCAACAGATCAGTGAGTGGATGCAAAACAACTTCCTTCAGCTAAACGCAGACAAAACTGAAATGATTGTCTTTGGTCCCCAGAAACAAAGAGAGAGCGTCATCTGTCATCTACAGTCTCTCTCCCTAAAACCTTCAAACAAGGTCAGAAATCTAGGGGTAATACTGGACTCAGACTTAAATTTTAATAGCCACATCAAATCAGTAACATCAGCAGCTTTTTACCATCTAAAAAACATTGCCAGGATCAAAAACATAGTGTCTAAAGCAGACCTGGAGATTCTTATCCATGCATTTGTCTCCAGTAGGTTAGACTACTGCAATGGCCTGCTCACAGGTCTGTCCAAACAGGCTGTAAAACAGCTGCAGTACATTCAAAATGCAGCAGCTCGAGTCCTGACTAGAACCAGGAAGTACGACCACATTAGTCCAGTTCTCAGGTCTCTGCACTGGCTTCCTGTGGCTCAGAGAATAGACTTTAAAACAGCTCTGCTTGTGTACAAGTCTCTCCATGGCCTCGCACCAAAATATATTAGCGACATGTTAGTCCCATATGAACCAGCCCGGACTCTGAGGAGCACAGGGACTGGACTCCTGTTAGTGCCCAGAGTCAGAACTAAACATGGGGAGGCTGCTTTTCAGATTCAGGCTGCTAAAATCTGGAACAATCTTCCTGAAGATGTGAGACAGGCCTCCTCTCTGACAATGTTTAAAACCAGGTTAAAAACGGTGCTGTTTAGCTGTGCATACAACTGAGGGATTTTATATTTTTATCGTTTGTTTTAATGTTCTGTAATTATTTATGATTTTAATGCATCTTGTTCAGCACTTTGAGTTGCCTTGTGTATGAATTGTGCTATACAAATAAACTTGCCTTGCCTTGCCTTGCCTAGTGCCTCGTCCATGCTCCTGCAGCCGCTCCGTGCTTCCTTCCAATACACACACGGACCAATCACAGCGGAGCTTCCTTAAATTTCGATGCTGCGCGGCAGGCAACGTAAGGGCCTTGCGGTGACCAACGCGTTGCGCAAGTGACGTCACGGCACCACCGTAAGCTCCGCGCCGCGCGAGTATACACTAGGCTGGTGAACATGGAATCAATCATACAATACATTTAGAGTTACGTTATCAAACATGAATGTGCTCAGAAGACTAGCAAAGCAGCCACAATCTGCCAAGAACTATAATAAGAACTGGATAGGGTATTACTAGCTTATAGCTGTCCCACCCGCGGGCACAGGGGGCGCCCGTGGTACTGCAGACAAAATTCACGCGGGCTACCCAGAAAAAAGTTCTACGGAACTCAATGTAAATTAAAACAGCTCGACCTCAGCTGACAGAGAACCTACAGCTTTCATAAAGATCGGGTTTTGTGGGGATTTTAGTGTCCCCTGTCATCCTGAACTTTTTTTCTTCATAAATCCTTTTCTTTAAATCCACACTTTACTGCCACAAACTCTGTTCGTCAGGCTCTCGCTCTAACTCCCGTTCTACCACTGCTCTGATAAGCAGCGCTGATTGGTCAAAGCGCGGCTGACCCCCTCTGTGCATGTGCATGAAAGCCACACATGCTTAGAACCGGGAGGACAAGACGATGCCTAAATATAGGTGAGTTTCGCTAATCTTTCAGTCCTCCTGTAAGTCCCATGCGCTACTGAGCACAAGCCATTCATTTGAATAGGGCGCCATCTTGGATCACTGGGGCTCGGAACTATATCACTTTCTGAACAATAAAACCCCAATCTTGGCAGATATATTTGTTTTTCTAGTTTCTAGATTCTAGTTAGAATCTTCAACATTTTTTGTTATTGGCAGAAAATTTGAAAAAAGTTGTTCAAAAAGGGGCGACACTTTACTTGTATACCACTAAAATGTATTTGGCCAAAAAAAACTTGGTACAATTGTTTCAGATATTTTTCTAATGACACTTTAGATAGTTAATTTTTGCAAATTAAATATCCATATACTTTCATTTTTGCTGTAGGGAAATTTGTTCGCTGCAATTGATCCATCCTTCAATGTCATTATGCAATTATGAAATTATGCATAATGGCAATGAACTATTATGCATTATGTATGGAGCAGTGGTAGCCGCAGTGCGGAGTCCGAGGACCCATTTCCAGGATTTGAACCCCGGACCATCTTGCTGAGAAGATCACTTTCCAACCATTCCAAGGGATTGATTATATCACAAACTAATGATTTATACTGGACTTCTAAATAAACAGAAAAAAAAAACCAAATGTTGATAAACCCCTCCTTGCCCGCCTGTTACTGAAGCCTTTCTTACTGAATTAAATACAGTATGTAGGCTATATAGGACATACTTAGGACATCTCGACTCTTGACTTGACTTGAATGGTGCAGCTTTTCCTGGAATGTTCTACAATCTACTCCTCATTTAATCCATCCACCATATGCATGATATAACAGGTCTTACCATACTTACAATACAAAATATTGTGTCTTATGAATGCGAAAAGGCCTCAAAATGTTATCATGAAACACAAACCTAAAACATTCCAGGCATTCCCTCCCAAACAGATGAGTTTTACATACATTGCATTTACGTATATTTGCCTGCAAATTAATTATTACATAATATACAAATATCTCTTTTAAAATGAATCACTTTATTTATGAAAACGTACAAAAATATATATTGCACTGGAAATCATAAGACTTTAAACAAGCAATTTTTTTGACTGTACAGCTGCATTGACAAAGAAGTTTTTGTGTTCTTTACGTACAAACTACCAATAAAGTGTCAGTAAAACTTTCCTCTTTCTGCCCAGCAGAAAGAGGAACTTTTTGTTGTAAGACGACATGGCTCAAAATCCGGTATCATAGACAGAACATAAAAACAAATTACTTGGTCGGCAAAAGAGTCAATTCAACTATATTTCTGTACAACCAACATGTCACCCAAGTTTTTAACTTGGTACACTTTTCAAACAAGCAAAAACAATATAACTGCAGTGTCTGTGACCTTGTGACATATTGTCTCATTTCACGCGCACCCTGTTTCAAACAGTTGTGCCAGCTCTTTGCACTCCGGGTCAATAAGATCAGCCGGCTTCTCCCCGCTTTCATTCTCTGCCTCTGTGCTGGCCCCCATTGCCAACAGATACCTACATGACAAAAATGACAAAAACACATGAAAAACAACCAAATTTAACTAATGACCAAAATAATCATTTAAACCTTACCTGGCAATAGCCGGATAACCGTCACTGCATGCCATATGCAGAGGTGTCCAACCATCTTCGTCTCTTTGGTGCACATCAGCTCCATACTTCACCAGCAGTTTCACCACATCAAGGTTTCCTGTCAGCACCGCCTCGTGCAGTGCTGCCATTCCTGTACACAAGTCCAACTATTAACTCAACAACTTGACAATTGCCCTAAAAAATAAATTCCATTCCGAGATCTCTTACCTGAGTGGAACAGAGTATCTACACGGACCTTCTTTGCTCTCATGAACCTTCCAATTTGCTCCATGTCTCCTCTCCGTACAATATCCTGGAAGATGATGTCGTTTGGAAAATGCACTGTCCGTTTTGTCGGCGTCTCTGGTACAATAACTGGTGCTTCGGGCTTCTCTTGAACTTGGGCACGCCGCGACGATGTATACCGCAAAGTCTTGGTTGCATAGGAAGGGACATAGGTGGAAGCAGACTTGTAGCTGGAGGAGTAGCTGGGCGGTATATAATGCGATGCGCTGTATTGTGTTGGTGAATACTTCGTCAAAGAGGTGTACGAAGATGTGGTCAAGCTTGGTGTGTAATATGAAGGGGTGTAGTGGCTCGCAGAGTGATAACTCGGCGTATACTGAGACGCCCTGGTGTACAAAGGCGTAGTTATGTGGTAGTTGTACTTCATCTTTGACTCAATGGTTAGGCTTCCCCCTTCAAATAAATGTCCAGGAGGTGAAAAAATGTATGGTTTAAAAGCTCCAACAATCCCGTATAAGAATCCTTTAGTCCGTTTCTGTAGCTGTGCCTCCGGATTACCCACACAACATCGTGAATAGTTTTAAATCCAAGTCGAGTACAATTCCAACTTCGAGTTGTGGCACTTGTCTTCCATTTGTGTCTGAAGTCTAGCTTTGCAGTTGCACATAAGTGAAGTGGCCGGCAGACAGGGGGGTTCTATATACCCTCTGCTGGGGCTATTTTGAGGGGGGATCCAGTGACTTCAGCTTCGAGATGAGTGGCCAAAGCCCAGACCCTCCCTGTCACTGGGGGGTCACATGTTCAATGACATGACAGCACTGCTTGGCCATAAAAATGTTGACAACTGAGGTGTTCTCTGTGAATGTGCATAGCTGAAAGTCTATGACAAACAATATCAAGGTCACTATAGTTTATGTTGTTCTTGTGGAACAACATGTTGCTATTGCAAGATCAAATTATCAGTAGGTAAATCTGATGCTGTAGTTTACATATTTGACCAAGTCAATATTTGATATCGAAGTTTAGACTCTATCTATATGCTATTTCTTTTTCTCAATGCGTCACTTTAAGATTGTATAGATCAATCAAAAATGATGAAACTGAAGTTTTGTTGTTGCAGATGTGATTGTGACTTCAGAATAAGCACAAACTGAAATCACAGATGTGAAGTGAAACACAATAAGTGCCTGTAATGGGCCTTGTTTGTTTTGGTTTTTCCTGTTTATTCACAGCGGTGTCTTTGACCCGTGGTTTGTCATGTGAATTCATCATTCTTGACCTTTAGACCTGAACTGTATCCTTCAGTAAAAGTGAAAGGGTCAGTCCAAGGGAAGGACTAGGAGGAGTCAGGAGAGAGGATATCTGAGCTTCAGTTTGAGCTCTGAGTTTGACCTGCTATTTTATTTCATTGCAGTATTCAATTAATGATTTGTACAGATTATAGAACAATATAACATAGTAGAAATTACTTGAATTGTCTATTTTTTATTTTACCTTTATTTAAGCAGGAAAGTCCCATTGAAATTAAGAACCTCTTTTTCAAGCGAGGCCTGGACAGGAGGGGAGTTCTAGACAGTCAGGTGGTTGTTTTTAGTTTTTTTTTTTTTTTTACTGTGTAAAAGAATATCACACGCAGGATAATTAACTAATGCTTAAATGTTTGGGCTGCGACCTGTAGATAGTTGTGAGTAATCAACAGTGACCGCGACCCGTTTTTCAAAGCACAAAGGCTTGCAACCAGACTCACGTTCCCCTACAGCAGCCATTCCCAAACTCAGTAACACCGAGGCCCCCTTAAAAATCTGACGGGTCTGAGTGGCCCCCCAAAATAATAACCAAGAAGACAACATTAAGAATAGGCTCTTCTGGTTATTTTATTTTGGGGAAATAGCCTCTGCTACAAACATTGTAATACAAAAATTATTACAGTGGATTATTCAAGTCAAATAATGAACACAAATATTTTAATATTACAAACAAAACATTATAAATTTAACATTAAATAATTATATATATATATATTTTTTTTATGACCTCCCGCGGCCCCCCTGCAGTACCCTCGCGGCCCACCAGGGGGCCGCGGACCCTACTTTGGGAGACACTGCCCTACAGACTGCACAACCGAAAGAGCAATTTTGGAGCCAATATATCGCTCCAAAAAAGATCTTCAGGTCGTCAGCTAATATCTTTATCTTTGACCATCCACTGGAAATCATATCAGCATGCCTTGCACCAGCTTACATCAATAACTTAAAGTGCCATTTGAATTGGGTGTAGCTCCCCCCACCCCCTGACCCAGAAATGGATTAAGGGAAAGAAAATGGATGGATGGATGGCAGAAGTCCATTCTATTTATTGAGTAATTGTGAGAGCTTGTAGGTTTTTGATATCATGTTCCCTGTTTGGTGAGGGAGAAATAGGCCTGCAGCCCACCCCCTTATAGTTCATAACATAATTAAGATATTAAATTATACTTACAGTGGACACATTTGGATATTAAGACTGGACTGAGCTGGTCTGTTATAAACTGGACATGACTGAACTTCAGACTTCACAATCTCAAAATGGCTGGATGGTTTTGGTCCCTGTGTCTGGTTCTGATGCGGAATTCTCATCAATTAAGAATAATCATGTTAACATTTAATCTTTCAAATTTTTCGTACTTTTGTATGTAATTTAATCATAATATCATCGTTGACTAACAAAACACTTAAACACTGTTCTGCACTAAAGCCTATAAAAGAGGGCTTTTCAACTTATTCTTCCCGAGGGCCCAATTGTTTGGACGGCGATGTGCTCTGGACTAAAGCACTTAAAGCACCAAGAATAAATAAAAATGTGCGGCGGGGGTGGCTGAGTGGATAGCACTCTCACCTCTCAGCAAGAAGGTCCTGGGTTTGAATCCCGGTCAATAAAGGACCTCTCTGAGTGGAGTGGAGTGGAGTTTGTATATTCTCCCTGTGTCTGTGTAGGTTTCCTCCGGGTGCTCCGGTCTCCCCTACCACTAAAAATATGCTCAATAGGTAAAATCCTCCAGGTAGCTCTGACCAAGCAAAGCATCATTACATCACCATAACAAATCCAACCAGCTTTAGCCAGCTTTAAAGATAGCAAATTTGTGTACAATTTTGAACACAAAAATAGGTTGAATTAGGTTGTAGATTAAGTGTGATTTTATGTCAGGTTCCATTCGTGAGTCTACTTTTTTTCTCTCAAAAATATTCTTGAATCGTTTGATTTGCAGTTGATTTAGGCTGAGAGCTGCATTAGATTGTTCGCAGGGCGTGATCCTGCTATTATAGTTCGGACTGGCAGTGGTGATGTGAACCGTACTGTTTGTAGGCACGTTTATTTTTTTAATTTAGTGCACAACGTGCTTAACAATTATTGTGGATACCCACTATTACCCACATTCCACACTGATGTCGCCAAACAGGAGATGCAACTACATTTTCAGTGGTAGGGAAACCAGGAGAATATGCAAACTTGACACAGAAAGGCCCCGTCTCTAGAAATAATCTAAGGACACAATCCCCTGCACCACAGCATACCACCCATATTGTCATCATATATCAAAAGGCTAATCACAGTGTATAGTGCTGTGGTGTTACTGCTGAGTTATCACTGACTCTTAAATGATGATGAAGAAATAGCCCTGGCATTCTCACTCTTATTTTCAGACCCATATTAAACTCAAGAGTGTGCCCTTTAATTTAGTCTCAAATTAGACACAAAATCGGCAGTGGGATTCAAATAAAACGCTGGTTAAAAAAAACTGCATGTCTGTGCTGTTATTAGTTAAAGAGGGCGGAGAAGTCGAGACAAATGAAAGTCTTTGGGAGATAGAGCGATGGGCAAGCAGTGGTCAGATTTCAGCATCTTACATGGCCCTGAGGAATGCCATGACAATGCACGCAACTATACCACAGCAAGTCATTGGCGTGGTAAATATTTGTTTGTTAGCACCTCGCTCCGGGGCCTAGTTTGGATAAATACCAAGGATGGCTTGTATGCTCTAGGCCTAAGTCTATTCGTGGCCCCTGGACCTCCACACTCGCCCCTTTAGGTCAATGCTGCAGTCTGACACATTAGTTGGGGGACATAGATGTGTGTAATTCTGAGCAAAATTTGCATTGAGGTTTATAGGCTGGCCAACCATGGACTATCAGGAATGAGTCATATTTAGAGCCAATCCGCTTTCAGAATAATCACTGGTGGACAAAGTGTACAATTTTGTTGTTTGAAGATACAAGACCAAGTATATGTTTTGAAGCACCGTTATTAAATGAAGTACTACAATTTTGAGATTATGTGATATTTGATATAAATATTTGAATATTTGATATCACAATAGTAATAAAATGCAACAGCACTTTAGTTTCTTACAGATGCAGGAGGGTCTAAGGACAGTGATGATCCGGGGTATATAAGGACATTTACTAACATTTATGGACAGTGGTCATCCCACTCTCTAAGGACCAATAGATTCTTTGTTTTTATTATTTATTATTACATGTGCATGAACTGTTTTATACTCAGATTTTTCTACTTTATTACTTATTTCCATATGTGTGAAATTTCAGCGTGACTTTGACAAAAGTCAGACTTCAGAAAGTTTTTTTGACTAGAGGACAAACAGGAATGTAATTTTGATTTTTTTGAAGGCTATACATAAATCTTAAACAGGTCAATGTGACTTCTTCTTCCTTCTCGACTGAAGAAAAACTAATAACTTTTGAGTCTCAGGTATAATGCAGTTAACAAGGGTCAAAAATTGACTTTCAAATATTTTTATGAAAAAGTTTTACTGTTGCTTTAATCTAAAGGTTGCTTGTCTGAGCAGTTAAAAAGCGTTAAAATCTAACAATTTTGAAACATTTGAATAGTATCATCCAGTGGTGTGGCACTCATCTAAGATAAGATGAGAGTTCCTTTATTCGTCCCACAGTGGGGAAATTTCGATGTTGCAGCGCACAGACAGGACAGTAGTAAGAGCACACAGGGAGCACACAATATATACAAAATAAGTAGTAGCTTTATTACTTAACTATCGGTTAATGCTGTAAATGCTTCGATACCAGTCTTTCAAAATAATATATATATATGTAGTAGTGCAGAGTTATATACTGTACATATAGTGCAGGATAATAGGCAGATAAGTAAAATGACATTGTTCCGTGACATTCTGAAGGAGCAGTATTGCACATTGCACATGATTTAGTATTTACTTATTTACAGATAGAAGACATCTTAATAACCACATGAATACTTTAAATCCAGTTCCATCAAAATCCAGACACACAGGCTCTGTGGGAGAGGTGCAGGCCCCTCCTCTCATGCTGGGAAATTTGTCCGCTGCATTCGACCCATCCTGATGCCACAGTACAGCGCGCAAGATCTCCAGACGCTTGTGCTCGGCTTGGTCAG